GGATTGCAGGACAACTGCAAGGCATAATAATGTTGGGGGGTTGGGTTTTTTGTTAAAATTTAGGTGAAATCATGGGTCTGTAACAGACTCTGTGAGTGGCTGCTAATAGAGAAAAGCCATAGGCACAAACACAAACTCCATCAGCATGGCTGATTAAAGTGACAGGAAGCCATAGTGCAAACTCATTATCCATTAAATGTAGGCTAATGAAGTTAAATAGCTAAAGGGAGAGAGATAGAGTAAAACAGTTTGTGTTGTATCTGTTGGGTTTCTCAGATTTTTATGCAGTACAATATGTGGTTTAAGTATAATATTACAGAAGATTAAATGCATATTGATATCAAAATCAGGCCTGATATCAAAATCAGGGAGTTTTGGAGATTTGCAAAGCGTATTTATTGCTGCGGTTAGTGTTTTAACACCAACTTCAATTTTATGAAGCCAACAAATCAAATATAATGTTTTCTTTTCTTTTCATATTTAGTTTTATTTTATTTATTGTTTTATTTGCTTATCAGAATTGTTTGTGGTTGTCCCAAAGTTATGAATGCTACTATTTAAAGTAGCACATATTTTCTTAATAAAATCTGAGTGAGTATTTTTAGCTAATCAGAATTAGCAGGTCAATAGTTTTATAGCTAAAGCTAGCTAATGTCCTTCTTTGATAATATTTTTTCTAGCATTAAGTAGAAGAAAAATTGAAAACATAGTGCATGAAGGAATAAAACGAAAAATGTTGGATATTAAAGGTTTTCTACGTGAGACGTTTTCAGCTAACCGGGATAAATAGATCTTGAATTTGTTAATCCTAGCTAACATTAGCATACTTTAGCTAATATCTAGCCAGTCTACTATAGGAGAGGAAACGTGAAAAGAATGATGATACGCAATTGAGGATGGTATATTTTATAAAATAAAAAGTGTTTATTTGACTAATGCAAACTTTTTTCTGTCTCTAACATTGATACATATATAGATGGGCAAATGAGTATATTTCAAATATCTTCACATTTAAATTGATCCATCCTTATAAGATGAAGTAAATGAGTACAGTGAGAACAAGGTGAATTGTGGTTTAAAATTGGAAACCTTTCAAAAAATCAGAACCATTTGAGTCTCAAACTCCTGAAAGGGTTATTAGTTCACCTGTTCAGCTTCTCTTTAATCAGCTATCTAATCGGCCAATCACATAGTAGCAACACAATGCACTAAGGCAACTGCTACCTGCTGATGCTCAAACCAGGCTTTAGAAAGGAGAAGAAAGATGATTTAAGTGACTTTGAAGATGTCGTGTCTGTTGGTGCCAAACGGGCTGGACTGAGTATTTGAGAAGCTGTTGAAATAGAGTTCAAACAGAAAATGTCTGAAAAAGATAAAATCCAGTGAACAGCAGTTCTCTGGGCAAAAATGCCTCGTTGATCTCAGAGATCAGAGGGTAACTGGCTTGACTACTTTGAGCTGATAGGAAGGTAAGAGTAACTGAAATAGCCTAACCACTTATCACAAAGTCTGAAACTTTGAAACAGATGAGCTACAGCAGCAGAAGACCACACAGGGTGCCACTTCAGGAAAGGAAACTGAAGCTACAACTAACACAAAATCACCAAAATTGCACAACATCAGAGTGGAAAAATCCTTCTGATGGGCCCGATTTCTGTTGCGGCATTCAGATGTTATAGTCAGGATTTGCTGTAAACAACATGAAAGCATGGATCCTGCCTTTTAGTTCGAGCTGTTGGTAGTGTTATAATGTAGGGGAGATACCTTATTCCTTCATAACAACTGAGCATTGTTTGAATTCCACAACACAACTGAGGTTGAAACAGAAACTGAAGATCTGACAGAAAATCTTAGTCATGACACCTTTTATCATTTTATAAAATAAGTTAGGAATTTTTACAAGGACGATTATGTAGTTATGCAGTACAAAGGGTTAATGTATTTGAAGCAGATATTCAAATATTCAAAACTTCCATCTAATTTCCATCGAAAAACAAATACTACTGCAACCATGTTTGGAGCTCTACACATTAGGGAAGAAGAAATTGTTTCTAAGGTTCCTATTTCTATTGTTTGCTCGACAGAAGTGGACACACAGGGAGGTCCAGAGTTTGCCCTTGAGGAGTCACCCAGTTTTCATTTACACCTGAACCGGTCCTTCTGGATGCCAACATGCATTCCAGCGCTGGGCTTCTTTCGTAGCCCTGCCTATTTAAGTCATCACCAGCACAGAAACAAGGAGCGATTACTACATATCAGATGGCGCTACCTGAAAATGCTGATGTCACTGATAGAGTGTACCTGTTCATTCAAATCAGTTAAACTTCCCTAAAAGACCTGATGAACAACTGGTTCATTGTTCACTCTAAAAAAAAAAATAAAAAATAAAAAATCCAAAACACAAGCCAAAAAAATAACCCAACCCCAAAACGGCAAAATTCTGCCTATAGTGCTGAAAACCTGCATGTTTCTTTCATTTATCCACATAAATATCATGTAGGACTGTTGCAACTGTTTTACCTCTTTGGTCAGCAAAATAACTGACAGTATTTCCCAAAGCATATATAGATGGATCATAGACTTGTGGTGGAGTATGTGTGAAGCTCAGCAAAGGAAAACACTGGATACTTGGGAGATCTTTTGCATTAAATGCTTCAAGTCGCTTAGATTAAAATCTCCATATCTTCTGGGATTCCTCCACCTTCTATTTAGACCTCTTATCTTGTGGGCTCCCCCACACCCCTGACTTAATCACATGCACCCTCACCTGCACAGGTGAGACCATTCTCGAAGATGTACTGGAAGCACAAATCACACCAGTTGCTCTCCCCTCCGGGTTCGAAGGCGTGTCCCTCTCCGGTCTCCTCCTTCACCCTGGGGTCCTTGTCCTCGGGGGAGAAAATGGTCTTCACATGTGGTTTGGATGCCTTCTTCCTCCCACGGGGTGGCCCCCCTTCGTGTCCCTCCATCCCGTTCCCAGAAGCTTCTGCCCCGTCTCTCCCCTCAGGTCCACAGTTCGACAGCTTTCTGTCGCTCCACATCCTCTCCAGACTGGACGGCTGAGGAGACGCCTGCCGCCGGACAGCCCTCACCACCGCCGCGCCCTTGTTGGCCTTGGAGATCCGCATCTTGGCGCCCGTCTGCGGCCACGTTCCCTCGTTCAGCGTGTCGTGGTGTTTGCTGACATGGACAGCCTGCAGGGCCAGCGAACAGTCATCTGTGACCGATGAGCGCGGGGGGGCGTATTTCCGAGCGTGATGTTTAATCATTACGCACACTTTTCATAGTCCGCCGCTGCGTGGAAGTGTATTCGCCAGAGTCACACAGGTGATGTCTTGTTATGTCTGACGATGACACCGTCGATAACGTGCTCGCAGTCGGAGAGCAGGTTGAGGCGGTCGGAGGTGTGCTGGAGAACGGGTTGGATCTCATTTCACTGGGAGACATGAAACACAGGCGCTCCAGGAAGGACTGCGTCCCAGACTTCGTTTACAGACGTGCAAATTTAAGCTTTCTTTCTCGTTATCATCACACATCTCCCTCCCAAGCAAGACCTAAACAACTTATCCAGTTTCTCCGGTTGGCCCTTTAATTCGTACCTGATAAAACTTGTTTTTGAACTGCCTGTTGCCTCCTCTGTCAGATAATTTTCTCCACAATGCAAACCAAATATGTCTGCAAGTACTCTGAGCGTAACCATTTAAAATCGGGGGAAATATAAACAAATCAATATAATGTGTGTCAAACTGCTGCTGCATCACTCTGTAGTCCCTCTTTTGACCACAGGATGGTGCCATTCCACTCAGTGAACAAAGATCAGGTGTCCGCAGGTAAAGGACAAAGAAAATGTTTATTGGCAGGGGAACATTGGTAAGATAGGGTCATATCAAAGGCCAGACATCTGGATTTTGTTTTTTGTTTAACTGAATACATAAAAAAACATAAAACATGTCCTGGACTTCTTTACTACACACTGAGTGGCTGAATCCCAACAACCATAACATTTTCATATATTCTAGCTTTAAAAAATAATCACACAACTCGTGCATGTAACTCTTGAACTGCAAACATGTTTTCTTTCTTTAGCAATTTTTTTGCTAAGATTTATTAAAACTAGCTGCCCTGGGGCAGACTGACAGAAGCGAGGCTGCCATATCGCGCCATCGGCCCCTCTGGCCACCACCAGTAGGCGGTAGGTGAAGTGTCTTGCCCAAGGACACAACGACCGAGACTGTCCGAGCCGGGGCTCGAACCGGCAACCTTCCGATTACAAGACGAACTCCCAACTCTTGAGCCACGATCGCCCTTTGATGTTGTTTTAACTGAATTTCTTTGTAGCAGTTTAATTTTTTTTTCCTTCACATCCAGTGAGCAAAAGCCAGACTTTAGTAAAGCGTCCAATTTATAGAAGCTTGCTTCGACTGTCCGCAAGCCTGTTTCAAGTTCCTTATCTCATATTTGAGAAGTAGAAATCTTGATATGCCTTTATTTTGAGGTCATGGCTTTTGACATGAATATTAATAAAAGGCTTTTTTAAATTTATGGTCATTTGGGTTTTGGTGAACTATAAATATGCACATTAAAGTGACCAGGAAGCACTTAATACAAACAAAGACTGATTTTAATTAACCTGAGCTTTTTTTCCCCCCTCCATAGTCATATTCCCTTTACATACTGAAAATCTGTTACAGGGCACAGAAACAAACTTTCTTTGGCTGCTGCTTTTCCCCCGGATAAGCAGGGGCCTTTCTTCACATGTTTAACAGATATTTACTTCCATACAAAAACGCCACAGGGATCCGTGTCTCCTCCTGAGTTCTTTTTTTGTGTGCAAATATTAGAAACAATAGTAAACACTAGAAACACATGAATGCTTTGTCACTGCTGTTCAATTTGTTTGGGGGCTTTTTTGTTTTTTTAAGGGAAAAGTGCAAGTGCTTCATTATTCAACTTTTCATTTTTTAATTAAATGTGATGGTCCATGCAGATCACAAGCTCAACAAAGAAAAAAAAAAAAAAAAAAAAAAAGAGAAAAAAAAAATCAGTGCATAAGTTTGCAAAACATGTATGCATTTATACAAAATTTAAGACATGTAAAAAAAACAAAAAAGAAATATCTTATTTAAATCTCACTGAAACTTAAATATAAGAACTATTACATGATCTGTGAGAAATTGGCTCTGATGTTTTGCAGTCTGTAAACTCATTTTTATTCTCTGTACAGTTCCAAGATGTCCTGTTGTGCTGTTCATCGTTAGTGTTAGTAGCTCCTGAAGCTACAGTCCGTGCAGGTTTTGGCCAACAGGGGGAGCTGTGGAGCTTGTAAACCACGTCCCTTCTGCTTTCAGTCGACTTCCTCAGTCTCATCAAACGCTGCATCCTGCAAAATAAGCAGATACTTGAGTGTTTTTAAAACTTCAACAGGTCAAGCTAATGGCTTAATTAAGAAGGCTTTTGTTTTAAACGTACATATCCTCCTTGGTCCTGCACCCAGGATGAAAAGTTATTCTGTATGTATCGAGCGCCATGGTTCAGCAGGCGGTTTGTGGGCAACGTTTCCACAGCTGACAGACGAGTGGTGACCTGAAACAAGAAAAACAGATGTCTCCAGAGGTTAGCCAAGGCAGTCATGTGAAAATGAGTCAGCAGACCTGCACATGACTCCCAAAACTCAGCAAACAGGTGTCCCTCACACTGCCACACCTGCCCGAGTATACACCGACTCATTTCAAGTTTTTGGGGGTTTTTTTGTTTGTTTTTGGTTTTTTTTTTTTTTTAACTGTTTTATCCTGGAGTGAACCTGATTTATAAGTGAATAGTCTTCTTGCTCCTAGGTTTACTTACTGCTAACTAGGAACTGACCTGTTGATTTTTCAGGGCGTATATCACTTGTTCGTAGTCAGGATACCGATAAACGATATGTGATTGTTATTGAAACTACAGCAATTTGTGCTACCTGACCACAGCTCCTGCAGCTCACAGCCACTCTTATTTATGCCCGCCGTTAAGGCACAGGAAGCTGCTGTGGAGACAATATCTCCACGTAAGCGCTGATATAGGAGAAGTCTTCGAACAGTTCCAACATCTCCCTCTATATATCTGCATACCTGAGCATCTGTACTGCAATGTCATTAAAATGGCAGTAAAAACTGACAGGATCATACACTTTCACCTTTAACCCAGTTGCGGCGGCCAAATCAAGACGTGCATGTCCAGCCGCCTCGTCACACCAGCGACATGGAAAGCATAAAGGCCCCTTAGAGTTTCCTACTCTGGTAACTCCTCCAGCGTTAGTCTCATTAAGAGTCATAGTTTCACTGATAGCTTAAGCCGCTCTTACCTCACACATCACAGCCATCTGGGTTTTTTGAGACGCCTGCGGCCCTGGAGAGTTGGGCGAGGGGCTCCTGAGGCCCACTCGTATCAGGAAGGTGTTTATTAACTTCTTAAAGAAATCGTAATTCCAGAAGAGCTCTGCTGCTATGTTGGCATCTTTCAGCACCTGACAAGGCACACACACACACAGACAAAACAAAGAACGAAAAACAAATAAAGTTCAGTCACTAAAGATGAAAAAATAAAAAAAATAACACCAACAACAAAGTAATAATGACGTTTCTGATTTGGAGGAATGTGAACATATAATTTTTTTTAATTATATGTTCACAAATAACGGAAATATCTGTGACCTGCACGTGAGGATGCGTGAAAAACCAAAACCACTCAGCAGAAGCGCGATCACATGACACAAACTGGTGGTAAACTACTTCCTAAAGAAAGATATTCTGTTGTTTTCCACATCAGATCAAAGTTGTTTTTGTACCTTGCCGTCATATTTGTCTCCAGTTTCTCTCAGCAGCAGACCAATTATCTTCTCCACCTCATCTAAAAAGGAACAGAAGACCCGATTATCAGCAGCAACAACACAAGACAGACAACATTTAAGGGATTAAAGGCGCACAATTTTATCTATATATATGAAAAAACATTGCAATTGCTGATTGCTTTAATAAGGCACCAACTTCAGCTGCCATGATTACAAAGACGGAAAAAAAAACGTGTTGGGCATGTAAACAACGCTGAATCTAGACCCAGAACTTCGCAGTGCCTTCTATAAATGTCTGTCGTGTAAAACTAGTAAAACTTGTTTGGTGGCGTCTCGGCTATGAAAACGTGAAGGGGTATTACTGGTGGGCAAATTTTTTTTTACTGAGCCTGGAGAATCTGCTGCTGTTGGGGATCTTAAACTAAACTATTACAGCATTCATTTAGAACCGATTGTTCTCAGTGGGTAATCAGTTTCTACAAGCTAGAAAACGCTCTTCAGATTTTACTTTTCTACCAAATTAAGGTGGAAATGGACGCCTTATTAAAACACCATCTTTAAGTCATCCAATTACCCAAATATTGACTTAATGTCAGCTAAACTGGGCAAACTACAATGTGATGTGCAAACATTACACATGCATTACTCAGGGAACATCTGATCTGCCCTAGATGCATAAAGTGACCCAGCAGTCAGCCATCTGAACCCAGACGGGGCCCTTTTGTTTTGTTCTGCATGTTCCCCCTGTGCTTGGTTTGTTTCCTCCAGGAACTCCTGTTTGTTCTGTTACCAGAGAACCTGCTGGGTTAGTGCTGCCTGTCTTGACAGAGTTCACAGAAGAATTTAACTTCCTTCTCCTAAGGCTGCATACCATGTTTCTGTTGGCTCTCTAACAGGCACCGCCTCAAATGTTTTACTATTCCTTGGTAATTCTTTGGTTTTTCCTGTGAGAGCGTTCACATGCGTATTCTGTGTCACTCACCAGGTTATTTTTAATCCTTTTAAGAGATACAAATGAATCTTAAAAGAAGAAACTCACCATTTTCTGGGCAATCCGACTCTATATTTGGAGGAATTAATTGGATTTCATCAGCAAGCTCCATCAGTCTGCTCGCTACCTCACTCGCCTTCTCGTCCTCCTCCTCCTTTTCAGGCTCATCTGGAAAAATGGAACAAACATATCAAATCAGACCCTAAAAGGACGGTGTCACAGTAAGCGGTGGCTGATCGGCCGGGTAAAATATACGCCTGTATACGCTTGTGAAACAGGAAAAACGCAAGAAACCAATAAGTCTTATGGTTAAGTGAGTGATTCAGCCCAGTGGTCCTCAAACGTTTTCTGGCATATCCCGGTGACTTTACAAAGAAGCTCAAAACCTTTTAGGGAACTGCGATGACTCAAATAGTTGACTGACCTTATTTAACTGGGTGGAATATACAAGCACATTTACTGGGGTTAAAATGTCCCATTCATAAACTGATTTTTTTCATTGCTTTGCCACAAGAAAACCTGACTAACAAAAACATGTTAAAATTATTTCATAAGCTCTGTCTAACTTTTTGGCTCCGGCAGAAAAATCTGTCTATCAAAAACAAAAAAAGCAAGTTGAACTGAAATAAAGTAGAGCATTAAAGTATCGGGCAGCACTTTGTTACAGCATAGTTTCACTTTCTGGTCGTCCATGCTTTTACATTTCGAGAACCTCGAGTTGGTCTTATCTGTAATTATGAGCGTTTATGAGAAACTAAAACCTGTTTTCAGGTCAGTGTGAAACCAGCAGGATGTTCACCCGTCGCACTAAAAAGAAATAAAAAGGGCTGAGGTCCACAAAATTACCTTTGTAATATTTTTATGGCATGCTTTTGACAGTCGACTAAAAGACCACTTTTTAATTTTTTAAGACAAAACGTTCTGTAAAAAGTAAGTATTTGCTGGTGTTTTTGTCCTCTCGCACTTATAAAAGAACACTTTTTGAGAGTTTGGGACACTTAGTGTGACGTCTTCGACCTGGTATTGACTTTCACCCATTTCTAAACAAAACAAGAGGATCTTCTTCATTTTACCTGCCTCTACAGCACAAAAACTTTCTTCCAGTTTCCATAAAAACTTATAACGTTGTCAGATTTTTCCTGTGAACCTTACACCAATGTCAATGCCCCTCCTTATAATAAAAATCATGACAGCGTTGATAAAGTTGTCAATGATTAAGTTCCAGTCGGAGCTGGTACTTTTCCTGCCTTACTGTTTCAATAAAAATCCAACATGTTTAAGATTACCTCGGGTTTTTATCACTCTGCTGATTTAAGACTAAAACGTGTAACCTGGAGTCTTTGTCGGTGAGACGGTGCCGGATGTCAGTCTTCTAGTGTATTTCAGGCATCAGTTTCACAGTGAATGATTTTATTTGCATTTTATGATAGTGAACTAATATTTTATAAACAAAACTATGGTGCACATTAATCAGCGAGGCTAATTGTCGTGTTATCTAAGGCTACACCTTTATTCTCCTCACCTGTAGCAGGGAAACATCTGAATGAGACTTCATCAGCAGGCTCCGTTGGTTTCTGCTGCTGCTGTTCCTCCTCGTCTTCTTCATTCTTCGTCTGAGGCCTGGTGCAGCTGAAAATGCTCAACATGCGTTTTAATCTCCTCCCCTTCTTTCTGTTTTTCTTTTCTGTGAGCTTGTTCTCAGTCTGTGTTGGTGTCTTTAGTGGAGTTTTGACATGTCCATCTGAGTCATCCCCACCACTTTCCCTGACCGGGCTCCTCTGTGTGTTTGGTCGTCTCCTCGTCACGTAGGCCATTAGGACTCTGAACTCCACTGTGTCCTCCATGTTTTCCACGTTTGGGGTAGACTCGGGGTCGTGGTATGTACCAGTGGAGCGGCCACCAGGGCGGGGAATGGGGTCGTAGATTTCGATGTGTCCGTTTGTCATCTTGGCTTACTGTTACGAAAAAAGAAGAGTCAAACTGAGACCCAGCCATCATGTGAGTGGTAGTTTTCTTCATGGAAGTGGGGGTTTCCTGGAAAAATTACCCAAATAGCAAAAGAGATATCTGAACTATTTTCTAAGCATGGTTTTACTGTCTAAAGGCAGAAATGAAAGAAAATGCACTGGTTTCTTTTAAGTGAGGCAACAGAGACTTATTGTCTCAAGTATTAGCAAGACAATGATGCTTTCCTGAGAAATCACATCCCATTTTGAGCAAGGAAAATTCTTCCTTTAAGCATATATCATGTTATTTGTGACAAATGCATGACTCCGCTTGTTCGTGTTATTTTGCACAACCTGCCGGCTGTATAATTAATAAGTGTGCTCAGTGTTTCTGGCACATGACGTGTCTTTAATATTTAAGGTAATGACTGTGTAACACAGATTAAACTGAAATCTGTTCATTTTCCTGTTACTTTCATCCATTTAATGAACAAAAATATATTTTGTGCTCGACTAAAATAAACCCCGAATCCTTTAATCATACTTTCTTTGTTCACTTGCATCAATTTCATATTTTAAAATGTCAGATGTGGTCAAATTTACATCCTCAGTGATTAATCTCTCCAATTAAGGTTGCTGTAGTTTAGTCTAAAAAGTTTTAATCTTGCCTATTTCCAGTTTCTGTTTTTAGCTTAGCTGATTTGAGTCAGTCTCCAGAGCTTTCAGTTTAGATTTGGATAAGAAAAGTTTCGTTTCAGTTTCGTTTTTGTTAGTTTATAAAATATATTTAAATAAACGAATTCTGACTCGATTGTTTCAGTAAGTATTATAACATGAAGGGTCTTTGTCAGGGGAAGAATTTAAGAAGTTTAGATTAGATATTACAATTTAAAATAGACAAACACCTGGTTTCACTTTGTGAAGACAGGTGACTCAGTCGTCATCCGCACTCTGAAATAAATAAATAATACACGCCAAAGAGTCATCCGGCAATTTGACCAAACTGAACCATGACCTAAAAAAGTATTTCTACTTTAGTTGCTAAAAACGACTTTAACTCATAGTTTAGTTTTTAGCTTTAGTTAAACATAAAAAAATACATCTGACTACAAAAATATACAATAAAAAAGGTTTAAATTTTAAAATGAGAACACTGACACACTTGACTGGATAAATCACCCTGACGTGTTTAAATGTAGTCCAACTGGTACCTGTTAAATCCTCATGTCCAAACTGCGAACATCTGTAATATTCCTGTAATTAAAGTCAGCTTAATGTTAAAGTGTTGTTGTGTGGCTCCTCCTCTTGACTTCAGGACTTTGTCGAGGCGTGTCTCGGCAAACAGCTGATAGTTTCACCAAACTCAATGAAATACACCGGGAACTCCTGAAGCCACAACTAACCGTGATGCGCCGTGTTTCTTTGGGTCAAAGCCGTCAGAAATCCGTGTAAAGACGACCTAGCTAGCTAGCTACTCTACGTTAGCCATGAAAGAAAAACTTTATTGTATATCTTTTGACTTTGAAACTTTAGCCGGTGAAGTTGTGTAAAAGTAGCTGTAAACTCGAGCCGCCATTGTTTGACTGAGTTTAAGTGGCTGTAAATGTTAGACAACAACAACCCAACCGAGACTGCCCCTGAGTTTAACAACACGATAAAAAGAAGAAGAGTTAGAAAGTTAAACTTAATGTGTACTTTATGTGAGTAAAAACGACCTGTCAGCTACACGGAAGCACTTTTAAATACTTCAAGTAGTCCTAGAATACACAAAAACAGATATACTTACGGTCCGAGCGGTCAAACAGACGCTAAACGAAGGAAAACACTTGCCACACCAACTCGTATAGTCACTGAGAGAACTATGCGCCGGTCGGAGTCCACGAGCCTGTTTAAGTATGGCGACTTTGTCACGTGCTGACTGACGTGCTATGACGTAGCTCCAGCTACGACGAGACAAACCGAACAAACTTTTCTTCGGATTACATATCTCGTAAGACCTTTTTGGAGGGGGAATTAATTTATTTTCCAGCGGGGCGTAATTTTCGATTACAAGTAATTACATAAAAAATACACAAATAAACATTTTTAAATGCATGTGGTAAGGGTATATTCTTACCTGATTTTCTTTCGCACAGACAGAAGTGGTCTGTAAATGTCAGAAAACGGTGATTTCCGCAAACAGGCAGTAGTTAGCACAGTTGATCAAAGATAATCAATTATATGGAATAAATAAGACGACGTGCTTCGTAGGTATTATGACTCAGCAACCCTGTGTTCGACGCTGCCTGTGTTATCTTGTTTTTGTTGCACATTTTGCTGTCCTCTCGGCCAAATTTTCCTTGAAAATGTTTTTCAAGTCCGTATCTATAAATCACTTTGCCAGAAACTGCAAAGCGCAGCTTCTAGATTTCTGGATAAAAGTGGGTGATCACATTCCTGAGCACTTCTTTTTGACAGATCATCTGCACATTTTTCTCTGTTGTACATTTAATGAACAAAAAACGTATTTAATGCACGACAAAATAAACCCCCTAATCCTCTACTCACGTTTGTACACTTGCATCACTTTCATCTTTTGACAATGTCAGTGTGCATTTCACAACAACTATCCTCCGTGATTAATCGCTTAATAATTCCAACTAAACTTGCTGTTGTTTTTCCAAAAAAACCCCAAAATTCAATCTTGGGTAATTCCAAGTTTTTGTTTTTAGTTGAGTGGATTTCAGTCAGTTTCCAGAGCTTGCAGTTTAGTTTCTCATAGAAAGAAAGTTTAGTTTTAATTCGTTTATAAAAAAAAATTAAATTAAATTAAATTAAATGGACGAATACTGACTAGATGGTTTCAGTAGGGGTTATAATATGGAGGGTCTTTATCAGGGGAAGATCTTAAGAAGCTTATATCAACGATTAAAAATAAAAATAGTCAAACAAACACAGGCCAAGGGAGGACTTTATTTCTGCAGATACAATTCCCCCCTGGGCCTCCATGGTCCCCAGTGCACAGATTCGTTGCTAATATTACACCTTTTAATTAGGCAGAAAAAGAAGAACAAAAGTTGAACTGCTTTAAATTCCCATAAACTTCACATGCACATTCACATAGCACAAAATTTCAAGTTTATTTTTCCAGCACTTCAAGTTAGTCTCAGAGGAACACTAACCTCAATAGTAACCTCAATTTTGAAATACTGAGTTAAAATTTTGAGATATTTAAACTGAAATTTGATGTACAATTAGTGGAAGAAACAAGCGCCCATAATTGTCTATCCAATGTTTGGAATCATAAACTGGAAGTTTTCTTGTTCATTTATTTTTAACATCCTGTTATTACAGCAACAGGTTACCCTGCTAACCTCTAAATCTGCCTTCATGCTTGCTTAACTGCTGCAACATAAAGGTGAGAGTGACACCACTGTGCATAGAAACATTGATCTGAGCAGAAATGAAAGCTCAGACTAAAAGTAGTTGTGTCCACATTCCAGGAGCTCCATAGGCATGCCCTTACCAGACAGTCATCAAGCTCCACAATCAGCAGGTAAGGCAGGAAAACATCCCCAAGCTCCTGCACGTCACTGCAAGGAGAGCTTGAGTATAACGTTGCCAAGAAACCACGGTTTTATTTATAAGGAGCAAAGAATTTCACGCTTGTTTCCACTTGGGGTTTCTGTGTGTCACACGCCATTGTTTAGACAGCAGGTGTCCCAACAGTACTTTCCTTTTTTTTTTGTTTCCTAGGATCCAGATGTTCTTCTCATTTTTTTTCAAATTGCTGCTGAGCTCTCCAGGAGACCATCTTTAAAGTTTTTCTTTGTGCACAGAGGGCTTCTTTCATTTTCATTGTTTGTGGACTTTACGTGCCTCACTGAGTTCAGAAGAATTTCCTTTTGTAAAACCAAATAACACTTAGTCAGATAACAGACACCTTACCAAACAAACATTGGTAAGTTGTATCTGATAACTTGGCATATCTCAGCATGGCATGCAGTGTGTCCTTTACAAAGTTTGAAAGCAGACAAGTGGAGGACAAAGGAAGTGGGGTGTGGTGATTGTACACCATATGAAGAAATAAAAAATCCCACTGGGATAAACAAAACCTGAAAAATTAGTAATTGCTTAAGATTTGGACAGTTTGAAGTGTCTGCAGGATTCTTCATAATCATCTAACTTTCCTTTCAGTTACCAAATTATGTTTAGGTGATCTTAGGCCCATAAAAGCAATTAAAACAACACGAGGAAGACAAAGAAATCTGCGTTGGGTCAGTGAGTGACTCTGTGCCTACTGTGGGCATGTCTGTCTCGCTGTGACTGACTGGGGTCCGTGGAATTTGGATGGATTCTTGATGTAGGGAAGTAAAAGAATCGATTTCTGCATGAGCATTTCACACTGAAGAGAGTAAGTCTACATGATCGTGAGCTGGCTCTGACTGATGTTCATTGTGATTTGTGTTAAATTAAAAAGAGGAAGTATTTCACAAAGTATGCAACCAAATCTGGAGGTTTTTAAAGTTTAATCAATCAAATCAATCTCAGTTCTTAAAAGAAGGCCTTAAACTGCTCAGAAAATACTCCGTTTTTCGCTCAGAGAAGTTCTCCACATTCGTTCCCAGGTGTGAATCAGGGATATCTACATGTGGAATGTCTCATCCATGTGTCATTGGGGATTTTCTTTCTTCTTTATTAAACTGTAATATGGGTGAAGGTTCAAACAAGTTTATGACTCAGATATCAAACAGTAAAGAAAGGCGGGGCAGAATTTCTTCAAGTGGCTGCTTGTTGAATCCTGGGTTATGAATGTGAAACAGTCAGAGTGCTTCAAAGACACTTTTGTATCCACAACGGTGCAAAAATAAAATCATGATGAATAAAATTATTTCATATATAATCATGATGCACTTAAATCCACCTGCCTGGTGCTCCAAACAGACTAATGTTGGCTTAATGTTGTGCGTGAATGGGTGGATGACTGGATATGTAAAGCGCTTTGGGGTCCTTAGGGACTAGTAAAGCGCTATATAAATACAGGCCATTTACCATTTAAATTGGATTTTTTATGCTTTTTCTTATTCTGTGTCACTTTTAAACTTCATGATCATATTAAACATGGCTGGTTTTTAATATCCAAACAGAGGCTCCGGCTCCAGGCTTCTCTGTGACTCCTTTATCAAAGAGGCTTGTCACGGTGGTAACCCCTGACCTCTGAAGACTTTAGATTGCACAGTTGTTATCATTCTGCTGCATGGAAGAGCTGAAGATTTTTATCGAGAAAGTCCAGGAGGGAAAGGATTAACACACCAGGAAGGCATAAGGTTGGAGAGAAGGTTAGAGAAGTAAGGCTGGGATGGTGCAGAGGAGAGGCTGTGGATGAAGGTGGAGCTGCCAGGCAGGAGGAAAAGAGAAGAAAAACCTTAGAGAAGATTCTTGGATGTAGCGAATGCCACGCAGAGGGTTGGAGGAAGCAGGCGAAAGAAGAGCAGACCATCAAACAGGGATTTTTTTTCCTGTTTGACTGTTTATGGTAGAGTTTTGCAGGATATCAGATGGATGGAAAACAGAGGGGAGAATGTTGTCAGCAGACAGTTGTGGATGTTTCTGTGAGACTGTGCTAGAAATGGTCATTGGATTTCTTTTTTATGAAATGAGCTAAATGATAAAACAGCATGCACGGTGTCACGGTAGGAGAAGCTTAAGATGTACGAGTGGGGATAGACACTCCTTCCAGAGAGTTCAGAGAGCTTGTTTCCTTAATAAATTTGTTTTACCCTCAAAACCACCATCTGCCTGGTTTATCTGGTGAACCAGATTGGGGTGGCTGTAGCTCAGGAGGAAGAGCAGGTCAGCTGCTGATCGAAAGGTTGGCTCCAGCAGTTTGCATGCCAAATATCCTTGGGCATGATACTAACCCCGACTTGCTCTCCGATGCATCCATCGGCGTATGAATGATAGTTAGAAAGCACTCAAAGTATAGATTATACTGCGTATGTGAATGGGTGTGTATGGGTGAATGCGGCATGTTGTACAGAGTGCTTTGAGTACTCCAGGCGAGTAGAAAAGCGCTGTATAGGAATCAGTCCATTCACCATTTTACCCTGCCAGTAAATTACACAGCAGGTGAAGGACATTTCTGCTTCCAACTTCCCATCACCTTCCACGAGTCTCCATCCCACAAACACTGATATTTAATTCTGCCCTTTGCGACACAATGATAAGGAGGCCAGGTGCACCCTGAGGACGATCAGTTGACATTACAGATTAGACTTTTTATAGCTTTTATGGTCTTGTCATTAGAGTAGTTACGTCAGAGATTTAAGCACCTCCATGACTTTTCTATTCACTGCCACCATGAGGCTGTGAGTTCTTTTGGAGAAAAGCTTTGATATTAATTAGACGTGATTAGATATAAATTCCATTAAAAAACTCTATTTCCCCAGTTTTGGTGTCAGATTTGTACATTATGTGTCACCAGTATTTTATCCAGTGCTGTCTTACATTTAGCAAACATCAGCATATTTCAGCCTTTTTGAGTGTTGCTAACACATACCGAGTTACATATATGTGCTGCTTTTTTTTTGTCATGTAATCTTGAACTGAGGAGCCACATGTGAACTCCTTCGCATCTGCTGTTTGTTTTCAAATTTCTGCACTTGCCAGCATGACTTTGCAAAGATGTGTCTTCCTTAAAACAGCAGCTTGTTTTGACAAGTAACAGCTGGTGTTGAGGGGATTTCCCCGGCAACCGCTCAAACAGGAAATGAGGTCAGACACCAAGACAACAGCGTCACATCTTCTTTTACCAAATGACAAAATAAAAACAACAAACTTCAAGTAATCCCATCATCATCATCATCATCATCATCAGTAGCAGAAAAATAAAATACAAAAGCAAAAAAACAAAACCACGTGCCCAGCCTTAGAAGAAACTTTAGTATAAATCATTTAAAATGATAACAATTGAACAGTTTAAACATCAATAATGCCATTTTTTTATGCCATTACCAGAACAGAATCCCAGGGAGGTAAGAAAATAAAGGACATGCATAACCAACGCTGATGATAGACACAGTTTAATTCAAAGTCATGTTTCTACTAAATAGAAAGAGTGATAATAAGCCTGTGTGTGTGTGTGTGTGTGTGTGTGTGTGTGTGTGTTGGTGTGTGTGTGTGTGTGTGTGTGTTTGTGTGTGTGCTGCTTGGAACGAACGTAGCTTACATGAGCACAGTCACTTTCTGGAAATTATCAGTTTGTGGTTTTATTTTACACACATTTTGTCCGTTACGTAATCTGCTGAAATTCGGAGGAAGGCCACCGAGTTTGATATCTGGCTTGTGGAAGCCATCCTACAACAAGAAACCTCTGCAGAGAAAGAGAGCGAGACATCGGCTCTGGATGTTTAAAGTGTGGAAATTCTAAGAACATTCGAAGGGTTTAAACAACACAGCTCTGGAATAAACGAGTCTTTACTCATCATACGTTTTAACCCTTGGTAAAACAGGGCAGAGAGATCTGATCGATCTGATTGGTTGATAAGAGTGCAGTGAAAATAGACCCAAGCTGTATTCCTACTGCAAATGTTTTTACCGCTCTTAAATTTTCCATATATTTTACAAATAGGTGCCTCTGCGGGATTCTTTGCACAGGAATAGTTGTGCTTGCAAAGCACCAACACCCTGTCAGTACATATTTACTCATCCCTGAGATAACCATATTAGGATATCTGCTTTCTATGACGCTAAAGGGACTCCAGAGCCAATCTGTGATGTACCGGAAACCTTCTATCAAACCAACCTCCTGAGGGCAGACCTGAGGACACAAGTTGGCGACTAATAGTTTGAATTTTGAGGGAAAGGGGGAAAAGCCACTGCAGTGAACGTAAGCTGGGACTTTGGGAGCCAGACTTCTATGATTGCTGATCACGACTCTTTACAATGTCCCCTTAAATAATTGGGAAAGCATCATGTCCTGCAAATATCAGCACAGGTTACTGCAGAGCTCACAGGGTCATTTCAGTCCACTGACATATGTGCTCTCAAAAGAAAAGAACGAACGAAACAAGAATCATTTTCCCAACCAGCACTGAAGCAAAACCGCACATTCAATACTCCTTGGTGCTAAATGCTCAACCGTGTTACAAACATTAATGTAATGTAAATGAGTAACATAGAAATGCAAAAACAAGAAGACATAATCTATTCATATTGCATTGAACATGGCTCAGATTTTAATTTATTCTTAGACAAATGCTGCAAACACACACACACACACACACACACACACCACACACACACACACACACACACACACACACACAACACACACACAACACAACACAGACACAACACACACACACACACACACACACACCAGGAGTACCAGATACACACTATCGAACTGTGAAAAGTTAAAATCTTAGTTTGAAAGAAACATTGCAACAAAAATACTTTAAATCTCCCATTTTTTAAACAGACTCTGGTCTATCGTCCAAAAATGCTTTCAAACGTAAACGGCAGAAACCTTGGGTTAGCGTCATTCCTTCCATACTGGGCTAATACTGGTCCCCTCTCACTATCACTTGGTATGGTCACTGGTTTGATGGTTCAGTGCTAATTTTGTCCCCAAAATGAGTCCCGTGTTGTTCTGCAATATGAGGGTTTTTTGGGGTTTTTTTGTTTCGACTGAGAGATTTCACAAAACGGCTCCCAGAGCAAAACATTTATCACCTTTATCTCACCAAGACAAGCAAAATATTAGAAATATGACAAAGAAAACAAGCACATATCCACAAATGTGACAGAGATCGGCACATTTTAGGCATTTCTATGACACAAATGTGATTTATTTTCCATCAGCTAATGAGCTCATGGTTCCTGAAACGTGTTGTGATTATTCCGTTATTTTTGTACTCTCTGGGATCCCAGAAAGAGCCAAAAAATGCTGCTTTTTGTTATCTACAAGAGATTTTAGCTACTGAAACAACCAGGTGGGATCACTTATGATTTCATAATGTTTCTTTTATGTGTATAATGTCCCAATATAACAGAGTTTTTCAGCTGCATGGCTGAGCAGCTTATGTTTGGTCCATATAGCGTACATGCCTTTCTACAATGTAGTGATTAGAAATGGTCATTTCCAGTAAAATCAAAGCTTATAATGCTAAAAAAACAGACATATTTAATTAAAATTCTATTAAATGTTATACAATCCGAGTCATAATTGGTTATAAAAATGTCACAGCAGCACATACACAGATATGACTGGAGTCATAAATGATCCCACTCGGTCACTTGTTCCGTGTGTTGTTTGTACTTGGAGAAAAAGCTGCAGTTAAAAGAAGTTTGTGAGAAAAGTTCAAAGCTTTCACAGTTCATGCAGGTTTGATTTTTTTCTATGCCAAACTGTGTCCATGTTTTGAATTGTTGTGGTTTACTGACAGTGCAAATAGAGCTAAATACTTGTAGCTTCTACCACTGAGAAACACTGATATTTCGGTCTTTGTCTGGCTTTATCACATTTACACTCGTCTAATATCAGCTTGTGTATTTTTTTGTGTGTGGCTGCTGTGGAGAACATAAAGTCCCTCCATCATGTTTGCCACAATAAATTTTTAAACATGCGAATAACTCAATCGCAGCTTTATTTTAAAGATCTCTTTGTGAACCTCTCAGACTCCAGCACATGCCAAGACGTTGGAGAAATGATGCAGTGACGCAGACATAAAATGAAAATAAATGTTAAAAGTGGGCAAGAGCAGATCCTCATTTTAAAAAACCTTTTAAAAACTCATCTGTACACGTAGCTCTGAATCATGGTTTTGTCTGTAGAAAATGTGACCCATTTAGTCCACTGAGTGTTCCTGGAAGTAATCAGCTGCTTGAAAGAGTCAGAAAGCTGACAAGCGTTTTGTCATTTTTATGAGTCACGGCGAAGCAACGACTCCGATAGGATAAGAAGTGGCGTTGAGTCGGGACTCGCAAGAAGCCGAAAGCGGAAAACATTACAAGCACTTCAGGACGAGCGCACCCGGGGAGGATATGTTCGTTTTGTTTGTTTTATTTTGTGATGTGTGACTTAGCGGGCAGCACGTGATTGCAAACGCTAGCGTTGCATATTTAATGACATGGGAGTAAGAAAGTTTAGGGAAGGTGTGGAAATCAAACTATGTGACAGATGATGGGAAAATGACTGAAATTTGGGACGAGATGTGACATTACGCTAGTGCAATGTCTTTGGCACAAGTTTTAAGGGACAAACAAAAACTTTTACTGTTCCTACGAGCGCTGAAATGACACTTTATACACTTTAAACCACTGCAGAAGTCTCAGGGAGTAAAATATGCATGAATCCCTTATAAGATGAGAAACAGGTGAACTCACGACGTGTGACGGCTGGTCCAATTGCACTTGCATCCTGATAGTCCTACGATCAGTCATTCACTCAATCGGCACAACCAATAAATAGAATATGAATAAATAAATACAAATAAATAGTAGACCAGTAAAATCTCCTCTGCAGTGCTGCTGCCAGCTGAAGCAGTTCATCTCTTCTGGCTCGTCTCCAACTTCTCCGCCCGAAGAGTCGAATCCAAACGTTTTCCTCTCCACGTCGAGCGCGCAGAGTCCAGAGCGACACAGAGTGCGCGAGCGTGTTCGCGATCACACGGCCGTCTCCAGGTCTTCGTGGCTTGCAGATGATGAGCTCAGGTAGGCGGCGAGCTCAGCGTCTCCATCGGCTTGGTCTGCCGGCGTCTTCCCCTGAAGGAAAGAGACGATTAGATTGGAGCGTGCCTCTCATCCAAAAGGAACGTACAAAAGCGGCAGCATGAATCTGAGGGATGGATTAAAAATGGAAGGTAAGGGAGCAAGGTGTCCCACAGCGAGATCTCTAATCTAGTTAGCATAATGGAGGGCTAATCTGGCCTAAAGAATAAATCACCGTCTTTAAATGGAACCATGGAGGACGCATGTTTAGATGCAACTACATGTCTTACCAAGGTTCTGAGAAGATGACTTTCCACCTTTTATTGTTTAACCCAGTCTGACGAAAGTCATTTTTAGTAATTCTGCAACAAGTTTTTGCTTGTAAGGATTTTTTAAGGTATTTTTGGTGCTTTAAACAAAATAACTGTGGTGTAAAATGCCCCTTAAAGCCTCTAAAACCTAAAGAAAGTCAGTGAACGCGAGAAACTAAAGAAGCTTTTAATCTTTAAACATGTTTCCAGGTCACAACTGTCCTGGGGAACTTTGCCTCTTTTATTGCAGCCAGTATCGACTGACTTACCTCTTCTTTGCCTGAAAATATAAATGACAATCACACACTTCCCCTCAGGACAAAGATGTGATGCACTGATCTGTTTGGTAAAGCCTGTTTTTTTATTGCCATACTTCCTGTTCTTTAAGCTTTTGGTATCAGCTGCTGGCCGATTCCTTTTTCACAGTGAGAGTGACACACCCTGGAAGCCACAAAACCTTTCACTGTAAATCATTTGCGTGATTCATCGGGACTTACGGGAATTGTATGCGCAGCTGTTTAAAGTTGTGTAGAAAAGCGCTATATAAGAACCAGTCCATTTACCATTTAAACATCTGTTTACCTGGAAGTTGGTCTTCTCTAGTGACGCCCCGCCCTCGACCAGTAGTCGACACACTGCGTGCTGCTTCCCTGATGCTGCTTTGTGCAATGCAGTGTCACCTCTAGACACGCACACACACACACACGCACACACACACACACACATTCTGGTGATCAGATACAACTCATATATAAAGATCATAGATAAAGCAGTAACGTCAGTGTGGTCAGACTGTTCTATACCACACTACACTACAGGATTGAGTTGTCTGCACTCAGGTTCTCACACAATCACTACGTGTGAATTTTAAACAAATATAAAATACACATGAATGATACATTTCCCTTCAGAGAAAACGAAACAGAAAGTACCTCTCTGTGTCTGTTAAATCCAGAAGAACCTTGGAGCCTGAGGAGGGAGAAACAGGAAGCGTGAGCAGTGATCTGAACGTACAAATGCTGTTAAACAAGCCAGAAGGTCCAAATCCTCTTTAGTCCATGTTTTCCTGCCCTCAGAACAGTCTTCCACTTTGCCTCAGTGTTTCTGGATCATTTCACATCCAGTATTTATTTTTGGCCTTTGCACACAGAGATTTGTCCATTTTTTTTTCAATCTTCTGATGATATCTTGTACTGTAGATGATGCGATATTCGACATCTTTGTAATTTTACATTCAAGAACATGTTTTTCAAATTGTTCCACAATTTCTACATGCAGGTCTTGTGCACAGGTTCACCAATCTGCACCTCATTACTCTCTGAGAAGCTCTTTTTATACCCAATCATCACATTGTTGATGTTCCTCCACTTGTTTCTTTTTCAGCTTTTTTTTGCCCTCTTCCCAACTTGTTGGAGACATTTTGCTGCGATTAAATTCAAAGTAAGACAAGAGTTTTCATGAAATACTAAAACGTGTCAGTATGAACATTGGATATTGTGAATATCCAGAACTGCTGTTGTGACACTGAGTTGTACACAGCTGTGGGATTTTAACCCTAAACAACCTGAGTCTTTCAGTTTTGTGACTCTGACTGAAAGTAGATCCAGGAGGCTGTTGGAGACTTTCGTTTACAGTAACACAGATATTTATTTAACATGCACTTTCTCACCTTGCTGCAGTATGTAGCGGACCAGGTCTGCGTGTCCGCTCTGAGCAGCTAAATGCAACGCTGAACAACCCCCAGAGTCTCGGACCAACAAATTGACGCCTCGATCCACACACTGTGAGAGCTGCAGAGGCCGACAGGAAGACACGATTTCAAGATTTTCAACATCAACCAGGATTCTTAAAAACAGGAACAAAGAAAGAGCAAATCTTTCCTGATAGAAAAACCTGATTGTTCTTTCCTGATAAAAGCACTGAAAATCTATTTCTATATGTTATTTCATTTATCTTTTTAGACCCCAATTCTTTTTTCATCCTCCACTTTCCAAAAACACATTCAGCTAACAGCTCTTTGGTAATCACCTTGTTGTTGTTTGTCAAAGAACAACAAGGTGATTACTAAGATGTTAGCTTTGGTATTCTTCAAGAGAAATGGGAACAAATTAAGTGGGGTTTTTTGTGACAAAGTGCCTAAGGATAATTTTTAAACTTGCTACCTTGAGAGGACGCCTTCTCTGTGTAACACAAGAGTGGTTAATGATCCTACTGTCTGGGAATCAGGGTAAAGCAGCTTCAGCTAACAACTGTCTCGCTCCTATCCCGGTGGACCCGCATGTCTTTCTTTTAGTTTTGTTTATCTGTCGCAACACCCCACATCTTAATCACAGGAGACGTGAGACGCAAGCAATAACAGGTGACAAAAACAGGAGATAAAGACACAGATTTGTTGGTCCACAAAAATCAGAACTCTTCCCCTCTGTTTTTGTTGACATAAAAGGCCAAAATACACCCATAGATGTGGGCATTCCACTGCTATCACTTTTAGTTTTCTTTCATTTATCCGAATAAGTCCTCTCATTAACCATCTGCTATAGTGCCCCTTCCATTTCTGTCCTGGACTATGAGCCAGGCCACAACCAGTTTAAAACATTTTCTCGTGATCTTGCAAACATCAATAATGTGTTTTTTGGGGATTTTGGGTTTTTCCTGACTCTACTCATTTCTAGTTGCATACTTCAATTCTTTGACACAACCAGAGTTACTTTTGTTTTGCTTTTTGTTTTTGTTGTTATCAGTTCTTGAAACAGCCCCTTAGCTCATCCTCTGTCTGGAACAACCTGTTTTAGTTCCTCCCACTTTAAGCCAAGTTTCATTGCCCCATGAAGGATGTCTGGTCTGATACAGAACCAAGAGAGGGAAAAACCGTCACATGTACACATGACAGAAACAAGAAACTGTGGGATTTCCTCCCTTTATTAGGTGTTACTGTCATGGCTGACAGGGAACTTTGTAAGAATGCCTGTAGTATGAGTCACAGCATGCATGTAATTAAAAAAAAAGGATCCTGTGGTGTTTGGAGTGATGCATAATTTAACCTTTTCATGACTTAAGAAACTGCTGAGTCTTTGTTGATCGGCTGGGCAAAGAGAATTTTAATGTTGTGCAACATTAAACCACAGAAACTAATTCTGCAGTGGCTAACACACAGGCTAGTAACAGGTCATCCTCAGGCCGTGACAGAGTGGATGTGAATTACCGTGGAGAGGTCCCCAGAACTTGCAGCTGTCAGCAGAGCTGTGAACACACAAACACAAAGCCGTCACTTTCTTCATCTTTTCTGCAGCCGTCTCTGTGCTCAAACACTGTTTACAGCAGAAAAACAATGCAGGGATCTTTTTCTCATTAACAGATAATTAAGGTGACCTATTGTTTGAAGGGAGCATCAGCCTGATTCTTTCCACAGGGCTCTATTTTAACTTTGCTCCACTTTCTTACAAAGGTGAAGGCTGAGGTGTTTTTTCCACACAGGAGAAATATTCCTCTTGTCTCGAGGCATCATGCTGCTCTGAACAGCCCAACTAGAAACTAGAAACACTTAATGACAGCATTAATCTCAGGGAAACTAAAACTCCAGCACTTAATGTGTGTCTGGAGCATTTACGGATGAGGATTTCATAGTCAGCGACTGACCGTCGGAGCTGCTTTTAGGAAAATAATTAAATAAATGTGTTAAAAGCAATACATTTCGGTCCAAGCAAGGCGCTTCTAAAATCGTAAATCGGCACAAGTAGAAAAAAAGCAGCAGAACTGGAAGCACAAGGAACAACCGGTTCTCTGGGAGAACTGGGGAGTCCCGGGAATATGGATGACTGTTGATGTGACTCTGTAAACAGGCCTCGCAAACACCGTTCCACAGTGTGTTCAGAAGTGTGAACACACTGAAGAAAGCAAATCAATTTACCAAAGACAGAAACCTGTAAAGAAAAGTCCTAAACTGCCCATCTCCATATGAAAATGGAAAAAGTTTGCTCAGTCTTATTTTTCAGAAAGAAAACAAAAGCAAATGAGGAAACTGTATCCGTCCGAGAAGCGTTTTACTTTTAGTTTCTAAAGTTGAGACACGCACTAATCTATGAGTCATATCAAAGGTCAACCCGTGACTTCCACCTGACAACTCACAACCAGCTGATGTTTACGGTTTACATTCACCGCATTACATTTAATCAAATCAGGCAAATATTTACCCTCATACTCTGAATATTACAACTTACAGGCACGCCAAACACTTTACATTTAATGTGCCCTTTTGTACCAGGTAAGTACAGGAGAGTAATGAGAGGGCTGGAAAACTCCTTAAAATATGACAAAATTACAGAAAGAATCAAAGCAGGAAGATGAGCCTGGCTTAGACGTTGCTTCTAAAAAACAAAACAAAAAACATCAATACACACCAGTTACCAGGGAGTTTTTCCTTCCCACAGTCGCCTGCCATCTGATTGCTGGACTTTACTCTCCATAAAGCACTTTAAGGAAATTTTTATTATATTTTTGTTATATATAAATAACTAGAAATGAATTTATACAGCAAAGTTTAACCTTGCCTGTTGTGTTTTTGGAGAAATCTCTTACTTTCAGGCTCCTTAAAAAGTTTAATATTGTGACACTGACTGTGTGTCTGTGCGTGCGTGTGATACCTTGTTCGTCTGATGTCAACGGAGCGCTGCAAACAGAAAACAAAGACAGCGTTAATAAGATATGTAGATAACACTTTTCCAGTGCTTACACAATGTTAGTATCACGTAACCGTGGAAACCTTCATATTCTCATCAGATAGAAGTGATCTTTGAGCAGATGCAAGTGCAAAGTTATGGCCACATCTGTTAATTATAAATGTTGAAGAGAAATGATCTGATGTTCAGCCTCAAACACATGTTTGCTTTAGTTTTGATGTCCCATCTGAGAGGGCTTCTTCCTCTAAGCAATAATTCAAAGATGTGTGTCTGTGAAGAGTTATGAATGCGCTCCATCCTTTCACCTAAACATGGTCACTTCTGGCTCCACAGAAAACAGCGTGGCGGCAGCTAAAACGCAGGGGTGACGCTGCGGTGGCTACGTGTGATGTCACTCGCCCTCTTTCAGATGCATCAGGGGGATCTGCCTCGCCTGGGAGCAGAAAGACGTTGCTTCTCCCAAATCGCTCGCTGCTTCATTATGAATAAACGTTTTCTCATTTGCATTTTAGGTATGGAAACTATTTGATACCCAGGATAAGAAAGGTGATCACACAGTAGGTAAAACGAAACGTTCATGTGGAGCGTGAACCTCTCAGAGATAGTTTTCTCTGTAATCCTTCTTTTGTCTACTCTGTCCAGAGGTGAGGGGAGCAGATAAAATGCACAGGGCCGTGCCGGCTGCATCATATACAATGACACGATTCACTCGCATCACGCAATGTCAGTTCTGCCGTTTGAACCCATCCACCTCAGCATCCACCTCCAAGGGATAGTCACTCTTCACTGCCCATTTTTCTATTAGCAGGTCAGAGAATAGATGCTAAACTCTGCCTGCATTCAGCTGCTCACTGACTGAACAGCTCTGAAGACCAAGACAGAAGATGATCCTAGAGGCTCGAGCACTGCACTCCAAAACACTTGGGAGGGAGAAAACTTCTCCACAAAGTGCGTGCATGGAGTTTTCTGGTTCAGATATCTTCAAACAACAAACAAACAAACAAAAAACAAACAAACAGATGGTGTCTCCTAAATTTCCTTTTTTTAATTCAATATGTATCTGGGAAAACATGACATAATTCTCACCTGCTACGTTTTTCTGATCACACCAGGAGTAAAAACGCATGCAAACATTGCTTAATAATTGTTCATGTCATTCATATATTTATTTAATTGAGGTGCATGAATGACCACCGTACAGAAGAGGCTCCTGACCTCAGTGAGTCACCTCTATCTGCTGACTTACCCGGCAGTGGGCTCCACCACCAGATCAGGCATCCCCGCAGACGAGCCCTGGCTCACCACTGGAGCTTCGTGGTCCAGGATGAACACTTCATCCTGACAGATTTCGGTCACGAAATGCAGATGCTCCTAAAACAAAACCCCCAAACCCCCAGAGAACCAGGAAAGAAAGAAGGAACGTGAGGAAGAAAATGCACCTGGAAACAAGCTTTGTGAATTCTGAAGCAGCAGGAGAGTCAAAAATACCTGAGCCTTGTCGATGCGATAGAAGCGGTCGGCTGACGTGGCTGCAGAGAAGGAACACGTAGTTACGCGACATAAAACGTCTGTAAAACTGCATTCATCAAAATCCCTGCAGGGTTTTATGATACCCAAATAATCTTTTATGATTTTAGAAAAAGCTTCAACGACTTTCATTTTTATCGAGTTATAAATTTAGTCTATAACTCAAGTCCAAGACAATAATAATAAACCTTTTTTGTGCTACTTGTGGCTTTTGAAACTTGAAACTTTTGACGCCCCCCTGTGGGAATTCTTTGCAAGTTAGCAAACATTACACATTCAGCCTGGGATCAACTAATACTAGACTTGTAGTCAAGACCGCCTAAACCAAGACAATACCAAGACCAGAGGGTATCGAGACCAAGACAAGACCAAGACAGACCAGGTGGAGACCAAGACAAAGTCGAGACGGAGACTAAAAAGTCTTTAAACTGCAGCCAGATGCTGCTTCGTTTACGGGTGTCAGGCATATTTATGTGTTTTTGCGATGCACTCACACAGCCCACCTCCCCGCTGTCTACTGTCTCACTCACTTACTGAGAGGACAGACACACGCTCCACTTGACTGTTGCGTCTCTCACCCTCTCTGTTTTCACATAATGATGTTATGCTACATCCTTGCATGTGATTGGCCACAATATGGAGGGATTGGAGCATAGCTGAGCCACTGTGTGAGAGCTGAGCAGCGAAAGGAAATTAAGTGAGGAGCCGGCTCTCGCTCAATGGGAGTCGACTCTTCTGATTCACTACAAAGCACTCTCTAAGCACGGCTCTTAGAGCTCATAATCTTAATTGTTGTATCACCTGCTGTGGCGCCCCCTTGTGTCAAGTGAGCCAATACAAGCAGCTTTTGAAGGAATTTGTGACCTTTGTTCTTAAAAAGCACAAAATAAATAAACTTTACCCTACTTTCAGGACTGGAGTCTGAATACATTACTGTGTTTGACACTTTACTAAAGGATGTGATGGATAACTGACTAGTTTGGTGACTAGTTGAAGGCTTTAAGAAGCTATGTGTACGGTTTACAGACATAAATAATTCTGTAACAGCATCTTAGTAGAAATTTAACTCTCAAGGAGGGAAGAAAAAGTAAGGTTTTAAAATGCTTTGAGTCAAAGTCTGCAAGCTGGTGACCCTATACATGCAGTTTTTGTGTTTTGGGGACCACTAAAATTAAACTTAATTTAATTAACTGCCACAACAGGTGCATGAAGATGTTACCGAGATCCTTCTAGAAGGACTCTGATCCAGTTTAAGGTGTTTCAGTCACTCACAATCCAAGAAGCTCCAGTTGGGAGACAGTCTGCTGGTTGAACTGGTCCGGGGGACACCTCTGCTTTCATCCTGGAGGCAAAGAGACAAATGTTGTGATCGTCGCCATTTTTTATTAAACAATGAACTGAATGTAACAGGGTTCAATCAGGAGATTAATCAGAGTAAGGACGAAGCAAAAGACAGAACACGTGAGAAAGACAAAAGTGCTGTTTACGAGTGTTTTGTAGCGTGGCAGAGATGAGCAAGACAATAAGACAGCATGTAGTGCATATCTTTTGTTGTTTTTAGGGATTTTACCACTCTAAGGGTTACTCTAAGGATTTTAGAGTGGGTGCCAGCCTGTAACAGATAAAGTTAGTTTATATTATTTAGCTATTATTTAGCCAAATGCTTATGGGCTGCCAGCCACCTAAAAATGTTAAACTCTTAGATGACTGTCCAAATGTTTCAGTGTTTCTCAACCCTCACAGAAAGACACCCCAAAGTCATATACCTGGTAGTGCACTCTGTGGCCAGTAGATGGTGCCTGGTGTAAATCCTAGCAAGCACACAGCAGACAGGTTTCAAGGTTAACAAAGAGCCAGAAGCATTTACACAAAAAACACCAACAGCTTCTACACATTTTACATTCGTCACATGAGACAGACAGCTAAAGAGCACCTCTGCGTTCCCGGCAGTGCCGGTCATTCATCCATCTATAAATAACTGAGAAAGGAGCGGCGACGCTGCTGCGTGGATCATGAAATAATGATGAAGAGGAGGAAACAGGAGAAAAGGAGAACAAGGGAGGCAATTAAAGTGATGATGTTGATGGTGGTAAAGCTAGAGACTTGCCTCTTGTAATCTGTCAATATAAAGTCTGCAGGTCTCCAGGTCACAGTCCCCCCTCACCACCACTATGCCAACAGGGATGGCTGAGAAAAAACAAAACAAAACACAGACACATGTTAGAGCTTTAGGGTAATTACAGTAAAGATTTATCAACACATGGTATCCACAGCTGATCACCTACACTAAGAAAATTATTTTTCTGCACTAGAAATCTTCAGAAATATGTTTAAATATGAAAACGTGGTGCCAGGCTGCAGAAACGTAAATGTTGGACACAGTCCAAAATACTCGTTTTATTTGTCTGTCACATGAGTGAAAGGTTTGTTACTTTATAAACCACTAAAACATTTTTTTTTGTCATGTGTCATGCTACAAAACCAGCCTGTATGGAAAGTTTCCTCCTTCATAACCAAAACTCATCCATTTGCTCGTTGCAAAGCTTAAAGTTATGTTTCGTGTATCCTGTTGCTGCCTTTTGGGATTTATTTTTAATGGTTTATTTGACAAACAGTGTGACTTACAGTACTTACGCTAATTTAGTCTTAAGATGTAATTCAGCTTTAGTGGAATTCTTAGCAATAACAAACAGGTTAGCAGGTATCTGCTAGCTATATGTGTGTCATAAAGTTGGTTGGGCTAAAAACAAATGAGCTACAAAATTCTGCAGCTGGTGACCCACAATTTATACAAAAAGTCAGATTAAAGCTGATTTCTTTTTTAATTTAAGAGACACAGAGAGCCTTACATATGTCTCGCAGCCGCTCCTTGTCATACTGCAGCCTGTCGTACTCCTGGAGGCTGATCCGGTTCACTCGAAGACGCAGACGATCTGGAACTGCGTGAGGACTGGAAAAAGCACACACACACACGTGCATGTACATGCACACACGCACAGATCAGACATGCCCGAGCAGACAATGAGAAAGGCATACAGATGCATACATGCACGCACAGACACAACTGGACACAACGCAAAACAGATCTGAGCTTTTATTTAAATATAAATATAACTGAGTGTCTGCACACCTGAATGAGTGGCAGCTCGATCAGAGGAGAAAACTACGTAAAAACAAACAAACAACTGAGCTGAACTCCTGCACTTCATTATTGACGATGTTTTGGTCCGTCTGACTTTCAGTGAAAGTGATCTCATGCTGAGATGCTGCCCACGTACCTGACGAAGGCTGGACAGACCAAAACACTGGAATCGAATAAATATTTCAGCAGTAAGCAGCACAGTGGAGTTCAGCTCAGCTGCTTTTACCTGATATTTAATTCCTCCTCTGTCTTCTTTCGTTCATGTGAAAACAGATCTATGAGCTCTGACATTATAAAAGACATCTGCACAGGTGTTTGAGAATCATACGTCCACAGAGCCTCAAAAGCTCTAACTCAATAATCTTACCTGCAAAGGGACAGAAAGCGTTTGAAATTACAACAGTTACATGACTCTTGTTACTCAGAGCACAACATTAAGACACTTTACAGGGTCTGGACGTCAAGCGAGAGGCTCGGTTCAGGTAAAGGTAAAGGGACTACAGCGAGGGAAACATTAAGACAAAAGACAGAAGCACACTGAGGAGTGGACAGGCTTTTATCTGCATGCTGCCACGCGCTCTTTCTCTCTCTGCCGCTCTCTTCCAGCCTGTGTAACACAAACACCAACAGCCAGCACGACACAGCAGGGTTTGACCAATACAGCTATTTGAGCATTTCAAATCTGGGGTTCTCAAAATGGGGTTCATGGACCCTCACAGCCAACACGTCCAACAGGAAAAATCTGGGCTTATAAAATAAGGACATTACGACTCCTGTCTGTTACGTCTCAGAGGTTGCTGTCTTTCTGATTAGCCACCGCTGCTAACGAGCACAGAGGAACATTAGTCAGGGTGTCCTTGGATAACAGTCTCCTCTCTATGAGGTGCCTGCACCTAAAAACCCAAAAAGCGCCACTTTAAATGAGTTGGGAATCCTAATGCAGAGCCTCTTTCAATGTTGGGACTTTGTCCTGATTTGCCCTTCCTCGCATTAAACATGCAGCAGGAGACAGCCCACGTCAGACTCTTCCTCGCTCCTGGATATACTCTGCTTGGTTCAGGTGAGGGTACTGCCTGAGTTCAGCATGCAGGAGGCTCACTCGTGGTGAATGTACCGGTCATTACCCGTGAGTTTGTACTAAAGTGTTTGCAGGTTAAAGAGCGTGTCATGTTTGAAAGGTCTGGTTGGACATTTACGTTTCTTCATCAGTGCGATTGCTATTAAGGCTTTTTTTAAACACAACTTTCAAGGAAATATCACTTTCTCTTGTATCATGATTAGGGTGAGGACTTAAGATTGGGTGGGGCCCGTGGGATTTTCTCATTTTAAAATGGGTCGCAGCTTTTCTGCTTCATCCTTTTGTTCAGTAGCCAAAGCTTTGACTGAGCACCACCTCCAATACTACAAATAAAAACTGTTAAATGAACAAATAAAGTCAAATATTTTATAATTTGCTATCATTAAAATCATCATAACTGACCACAAAAAGCTGGGAAGATGCCAACTGCTGATTTTGTCATGTCAAATATTGGTCAAAGCCTGATGGATCAATAAAGACACAACGCTGTCAACACATTTACTCACACGGACACAAACATCCATCCATCCGGTCACAGAGGGCTCAGGTACTTACACAGAGAAGGAGTCGGGGGGAGCAGAGAGGCGGCGCAGATCAGCTGCACACACCTTCTGAATACTACGGCCGTACACACGCGCGCGCACACACACACACACACACAGAAGAGGAGGAACGTATGACGGGGGGAGATGAGGGGGGGGAAAAAGAGAAAATGACGAGGAGGGGAAAGGAAATGAAAAAAGAGGAGGGGAAGGAGACAAGGTAAAGAAAAGAAAAGAAATAATTAAAGATCACACCGGCGTGTGTGTTGGAGGAATGAAGAAGTGAATATGAAGGAAGACAAAAGAAGAAGAAGAAGAAGAAGAACAGGAGGAACAGACGGAGAAAAGCCCAGAGGTAAGTGGACAAACATTGATAGCACAGTAGCAGTACAGACAGTCGATAAGTTCTGCTACAGAAAGTCATCACCCTCTACTCTTCCTGCTCTCACATGCACACAGTTACTGTAGCTGACACGGTTTAAAATACACACAGATAAAGACAGAGATATACATGAAGAGATATTAGTGCTACGGGGATGGAGGAGGGTTAGTAGTCTCGTGATTCTCTTTGTGCAGGAGGAAATCACAAGGCAGCACTGCCACTCCTGAAACAGATCAATAAGCATCTCCTGTTCACAGGAAACTGCCAGTGTCACGTGTCAGCGTGTCACCCATGCTCTTGTTTGGATTAATTTGATTACACGTCCCTCCTTTGACTTGGTCTGGCGTGCTGTACGGAGATGTGGGAGACTGACGAGTGAATGTCAGCTCCTGCTAAACAGACTGTGTGACTCATTCAGATTTTTTACAACGCTGCTGGCCTAGATCCTCCATCTGTACGAGCGCGCACGTGTGTGTGTGACTCACTCGTTGAGCAGGGGCACAGAGGTGCGTCTCTTGCTCTTCTGGACCATGTTGGCCTGATTTCGAAGAGAGATGCGGAGAGTGGATGGAGCCAGTCGGCATGGCTCGCCGTCCACCTGAACAGAAAGACACGCTGAGGTCATGTTTTAAAAGTCAAACCAATGACTTCATAGTATTTGCTTCTTTTGGGCTTACATCAGCAGCATAGAAATCCGAAAATCAGCCAAGAAGCTAGTTGCACTCACAAACAGTTTAAAAGACGGACGTCTTAAACCTGCATTCTTTCTAAGGACCAGCAGAGGGTGACTCTTGTTTGGAAAGAGACCGCCACTTCTATACAATGAAAACGGCCCTCAACTCACTTGCTCTGTGACCTCAGTAAACACTTCCCTGATGACTTTATATGAGCTCAACCTTCTTTTTCTTTTTTTAAATGGTCATTATTGGGGTCATTTTACCCAAAACAGATTGTTTGAAGGTTTGGTTGGGCTCTTGGAGATGTTTTGAGCCGTCTTCAATTTAGTAATAGCTTGTGTAATGTTTATTTGACCTGGCCTGATAAAAAGAAATGTCAGGTTAAATAAATCTCACAAACCGCAGCAAAGCGGACTCTACTAGAGCGGCATTGCACGATTCAGCTCAAAATAATCCTTCTTTATCTCACACTGAGCCCCTGCTCATCACAAACAGAGGGTTTTAACAGCTCTCATCTCTGTCTCCTATCTGAGCTTTTGATCAGAGTCACTGCAGAAAAGAGGCCGCACACAAACATCTGGCTCACTTTATCTGTTTGTCATTAAATATCACAAATAAAATTAAATATATAGCCAATTTTAATACACTCGCACTTCTCATTGCATTTACTGCAGCTGAATGACTTCATCATTTCTGCATGACTGTTACTTTAAACAATGCAGTACTCTAAACTACCCCGAGAGGTTCTCATGTACCCATCTGAGAAAACCTGTTTAACCCTTTTCTTGTTTCTCAACGTTGTTGCTTCTCTGTTTATATTACAGCCAGCACTATAGTTACGTTTTAAATATCATTAATAGATATGAATAAATAATAATGAAATAAAGAATGAATAATGAAATATTGTCCCCTGCAGAGTTACTCAGAGCTAAACGAAGAATTGAATCAAATATTTAAGAGAGAAAAATCAGTCAGTCATCTCAAAGGTTTGTCAAACTGTGAGGTGCATCACCAGAAACATACGGAATTTAAAAAGGTTGATCTTCATGCTGGGAAACAGGGCTGACTGTGCTGAAATTAATTTCACCTGAAGTCAATCGTTTTTAATTGTTACTGATCAATTAAACATGTGAGATGGGGAAGTGGGAACTTTATCCAGGTTTTTGTACCAGAGGAAGTCTTAGAAGCACGGACCTAAAGTTTGCTGTCACGTACCATTTCAATTTCAAAGTTTTTATTAATTAATGTTTTTAATACAAGCTAAACTAGGTATATTAAAAAAAACATTTTGTCATTTAATTGTTTATCTATTACTTAATTACTTTAATGCGGCATAAACAGCTTTGGTGGTGAAGGGTCTTTATCAAAAGGAAAAGCTGTAAAACTTCTTCACATTTTCCAAAGCTGTCCAGTTGGCCAGATTGGAGTATTTGCTGGGTCGATTCTGGCCCCCGGGCCTTATGTTAGACACTCCTAAATAAAACTGTACATTTACTACAACAGTTTGTGTTTATTCTGAGGAATTCTACGTGTTTGTTGTTTTCTTATACTCTGATTATTCTCTAGCTGCTCTTGCTTTGAATCCTGCAGGTATGAGGTTGTTATATTACACTCTGTCACTCTAATATTACCTGAACAGGTACAGTCTTGTAGGTAGTGAGGATGACCTCTCTGCACTGGTGAAGTCTCTCTCCGTGACCTCCAACCTGCAGCGCTGCCTAGTGGACAACAGAGACGTTTTCAGATGTGGTTTCCTCTTCGTTGCGCTGCTTCTTTTTTGAAATTCTTACCAGCGAGGCCATGGTGAAGCCGATAACCTCGATGCAGCCGTCGTCATGCCGCTGAGGTTCAAAGTCTCGATGGTCTCCTGTGTTTCCCCATGGCATGGTGCCGGCACAGTATCTGCACACGTGTTAACACAATCATGCAACAACAGAGTCTCAAAAACACCTTAAATGTCATTTGGGCTCCCCCTGTGGCGTCCTGTTGATGACACGCTCACTGCTGATGTTTTTTAGCAAAGGTTAAACTCAAATATCAAATCAAGTGCTTTTCTGGCTGATTCATCTTTCTCCAGTGACGGCGCAGACTCTCCTCTGACCGAACAGGTATGAAATTTGCTTTTATTGACTGAGGAGTATTTTAACTCCAGGCTGCGTGGGAGGACTGAAGTCAACAGCTTCAGCGAGCATAAAACCTGAATTACACCTCCTGCCTCTACCTTCAGCCCACTTCAAGAATTTAATTAGTCAGGTAGTCACAAGAGAGTTGTGGTGTCTCACAGTTTTCTAGATGCTATTTAACATGCTTTGTCACACACTGAATTGTTAGACAGAAATTAAAACTTACAGATGCCCCATTATTTACACGTTTTTCAATAACAGTGAACTTTTTTTCTTTGGTTTTTATTTATTCTTAGCAGAGCAAATACCAAGAAATTCACAAAGAAACAACACAGCAACACTGTTTTCAAAAAGACTGACTGAGCCACAGATCACAAAACTGCTAGTAAATTCACCAATGACTGACTGATGACGCTCGGAGTCTGTCCGCCGTGAATTTCTTCGAAAAAAAGAAAATAGCCAGACCTCTGCTGGGAAGGAAAAGCTCTCAAATCTGTCTGGTTCACAAAAGGCATCGAGACAGAACTGACACTGCAGCAGCACTGAGTGACGGGAAAATAAGTACCGCCCCCTCACAGATGTTCAAAGACACAACACATCTATGTCACAGCTTTAGCTGCCTTAATTCTTCATGCCACAGACTCAACAACGTCCTGGAAACATCCATGTTGGCATGATAGCATCACACAGTTGCTCCACATTTGTGGGCTGCACATCCATGATGAGAATTTCCTGTTCCACCACTACTAAAGGTGCTCTGTTGGACTGAGATGGGACTGTGGAGGCCATCTGTGTGCACGTTCAATAAACCAGTTTGACACCATGTGTCATCCTGCTGGAAGCAACCATCGGAGGATGAGTAGGAATCAGTGTGGTCAGCAACAAGACTTGGGTAGGCTAATAAGGGTCACAAAGAATGGAAAAAATCCACCACACCATTACACCCCCACCCCTTTGTGTTGAAGCTATGAAGCTAATCAATAATATTCAGAAACCTAGACAGTGCCTGACTAAGTTCAGGTCAAGAAATTCCTGGGAACCATCGATTTGCGCTATCGTGGCCACTCCATGATCACCTACCTGGGAATGTTTAGAAACACTATGCACTGGAACTTCAGCTCCTGGATCTTGGGAGTGAGATCTGTGCCATCACACTGTGAAACACATGGAAAGAGAAACATTGAGCCAACGTTTCACAGAATGTGCGCCACATATTTGCAGTATAACAACTTATTTTCACTCTCAGAACGTTTGTTTTGCTTTTAAATGTCATTTCAAGCGTCGCTCGCTGTTCTCAGCTTTTACTCTCAGTTTCACTGTCCTCACTCTCGGTCGAACCCGCCCCCACGTTCTGATTAATCAGGTCAAGGGTCACGCCACACTCAGCTCCCTGCAGGATGCCGTTAATGATTTATTGCTGCAACCACGTAAGATGTGCCATTTTCTAAATGTACAAACCATTTCTGGGTCAGATTTTTCATATTCAATTATCTATTTTCCACCAGGAAAGTTTCTAAATCAAAGCATAATTAAAGGATAAGTCCAGTCAAATTCAATATGCTTCTATAAATAAATCCAAGGAAAAGACCAAAACCAACAGAAAGCCTCAGCGCTGCGCATCCGAAGCTTGAGCTCATTCCTCTGTGCCACACAGCTCCATTATTCTCACAGAAACTATATAAAACACATCAGCGTTAACACCTCTAACAAGTTCCTGCATTACAATGAACGAGGGCACTGCAAATCTGCTGATGCTGCTATAAATACTCACAGCAACAACAAATTAGCAGCTGAAAACAATCCCAAACAAACAGTTTTTCCTCCTGTGTTACTAATATTTGTTCAAAACTGCAGCGCCAAGATTGTTTTAAGGAAACGATTGAGTCTTTTTTTTTTCTTTCTTTGAATGACGGGATATATTTATTATCCCATGATTTATATCAGCAGCAGGAAACAAGAAGCTTGAGGATGCGAGTCAGCATCAGAGTAGGGAAGTTGGAAAATGTTCCGAGACGATCAAAAAACTGTTTGTGTTTTGCTGCTCTGGCATGAAATTTCAACAGATGCTGCTCTCGGGGCATCCCTGACACTGAAGACACAGTAAACAATCCTGTAATTTAGTTATGTTCTACTCAGTACAAGATAGTTACAGGGTTTGTTAACTGGGAAAAAAAAATCAAAGGGACCGTTCACCACCAAATCAAGTCAAATCAATCAGATGTGCTATTTCACACATATGAGTTCCCAACAGGAAATTTGCAGGGCGCCCTCTGGTGGACAAACTTTGCAACATCAACACTCATAACAAGGCTGAAGGGTGTTTCTTTCATTTCTTTTTTACTTTTTTAGTTATGGTTAATCAGCCATCACAAGAGACAATACCTATATATCAATAGCTAATATTGACAAATTACTAATATAAGGTCAATCGAAAATCAATATTTCATATAAGCAACTTTATTCTTCAACACAGCCTGAACTTTCTGGGGCTGCTTTCTTGTACTTTCTTTAAGTAGTCTTGAGGAATAGTTCTCCGGACTTCTTGAAAGACATTCAAAGCTCGTCTTTGGATGTTTTTTCTGCCTGTAGATGATCCCACACTGCTTCAGTAACGTTGATGTCCGAGCTCCAGGGAGGCCAATCCATGACTGTGTGTTTCATCCAGGAATGATTTTACTGCATTGACATTGTATTTGGGATCAATGTCATACCTAAAAAAATTAAGCCAGCCTGTCCAGGGTGGACATTACATGCTGGATCAAAATCTGATAGTACTTATCTGCATTCCTAATTCCATAAGATTTTCCAAGATATCCAACACTACTGCCTGAAATACAGCCCCCAACCAAGACACAGCCTCTGCCATGCTTTACAGATAGCTGTAGATACTGTTGTACCCCTCTCCTGCATTCCTCTGTAGATGTTAATGTTGAATTGAACCTACAGCTGATATCGTCCAAGCCTGCTCCAGTTAGCACAGAGCAGAGGGCGCAGCGCACTCTGGACAGGTCACCAGTCCATCACAGGGCTAACATGAAGAGAGAGACAACAAACCAGAAATCTGCTCTGCACCACATACTGGATCACCCCTGAGATGGGGTGAACTGTCCCTTTAAATATGCTCATTTTATCTCTGGGCATTTTTCTTTTTTTAAGGAATTTTTCAATTAACCAATGAAATCGTCATTAGAAATGTTAATAAAAAACTGTTGGTGCTCTAACCCTGGGGTAGATGTCAGTGTTCAGGGTCAGTGAATGGGCAGCGCGGTGGTTCTTGTAAGACTTTAATGAAGGACACTTCAGCACGGCGGCCGTTAAAAGAGAAGCAGAGGGCGGGACTTTAATCACCGACCTGCTGCCCAAACATGTCGACACAGAAAACGATACAGGCGGAGAGCGAGAGAGAAGACGGAGAGAGTGTGTTAACACTCACCACCACTCTGACGTGCTTGGACAAATCCCTGGAGCTCCTCTGGAGGAAATCTGAGAACGCAGCCTGCACACACACACACACACACACACAGACACACGACCACACACACACACACACACACACACACACCACACAGCACACACACCACACACACACACACACACACCACACACAAACACACACACACACACAGAATGGGGCCCAATCAAACAGAATTACAGTTCATTACATTTCCCTCATTAAAAAGAGATAACTCCGTGACACGCTTCCGCTCCAACTCCCACCCATCACTTCTCCCTTCCAACTCATATCCTTCACAGAGAATTTGCTCATTCCAAATAGCTCCAAATTTAAAAATTCTTGTTTAAGAATTTTTATTTCAATCGGGGAGGTTCAGAAGCTAGAGCTGCACGAAGTTGGAAAAATGCTGGATTAATTAACAATAGATCAAAGATCAAAACAGCATGCTATGACCTCGGCTCACTACAGATCAGTAAAATTACTGGATTACAGGAAAATTACCCAAAAATCATCTTTCGAAGGTATGCGGTCGATGTGAATGGCTGCATTAAAAATAGATAAGTCTGAAAAATGTTTTAATTCATGAAACATTTGCACAGATTTTACGTGCTGGTGTGTAAAGGCCCTCCGAGTGAACGCTAGACTGACTCCCTGCACCGTCAGGTGGCACAACCTGGTACTGCTCAAAAGCACAGCCTGGTCCTCGTTCAACTTCATCCTGAAATCTGCTCAGTGTACAGAGGCTTGGGATATAAAGTCAAAGCAGATGTTTCTTTACATTCTGTAGCTTTTACTTTCTTTTTAAACACAGCTGAGATATTCTCTTTGCCTCCATGTATATTTACTCTGAGTGATTTTTTGCAGCACCTCATTCTCGCTTATTTAAACCAGACTTCTTCCTGCTCATCCTAACATGTGTCTGTGTGTCAGACAGACAGTGACTGGGAGGAAGAGTTTCGGCTCCAAAGGTTTGTGTGTCTGTGGATGTGTGAGCAGAAAGAAAGTCATCGGGGACACTCACTCCTGCATAGAACATCTTGTTGCGGAAGCGACTGTTAAACTTTTCTGGGTTGGCCTCTGGAAAGACACAATTAGAGAGGCAGAGAGAAAGAAGGAGAATACATTAAAGATGCGACAAAGACAGTGGGATTACAAATGTGAAAACTCACGCAGAGCGGTACAGAGTAACACGGAGAGACTGACTCATTTGTGCATGCCTGAATGTGTGAATCTGATTCAGTATCCTTTGTAAATTTTTCATTCTGCTCATCTTTCTCTTCTTTTTTTTTTAACAAAAGCAGAAAATGATCTATTAACTGGGGAGAGGAGGACCTAATGGAACATGAATAGAGTTGACACAAGGTGAAAATTTAAAAAAGACTGATATTAAAATAGCTTTCACACACCTCTGGACTCGTGGAACTCCAGGGTGACGTGCGCGTCGAAGCCAAGGCTGAAGTAGTTGTTGAACACGTTCAAGGGCAGCTGAGGATGCAGGAAAAACACTGAAGTGGGCCTCTTTGCATAAATATAATGTAATTTATTCACATAGACAGCTCACATCCTCTTTGAGCATAAACTCTGACCATTTAGCTACTGATACTCATCCAAATTCACACTTTTTGGTAAAGCCCAACTCTTTAAACCCACGGTATAGATATTAACAAGCAAAAACCTCAGAGGCTGAAAAATAAAGCACCAAAACTGCCCTATCTTTATTCCAACAGTGTACCTAATATGGAACGCACACATCCTAACTTCCAGCACAAACTGACCTTCTGTGTGCCCTCCTCTGGCTGGGCAGAGCTCTTTTCTACTAAGAGGTTCCACCTGTCCAGCTGCACCACCGAACCGTCCTCCACATGACACAAAACCTTGGACACTGGTTCATCCGTGTAGCCCTGCAGGGAGGATAGCAAACACAAGACAGAGGCAAATTTAACTACCCAACACCTACACAGTCATCTGTGCAAAAGGGTTTTAATGTTACATTTAATATGCATCTGTGCAAAGTGAGGATAAATACACACTGCAGAACATCTAAACTATTTGAGTAAGTGAAAATAGGACAAAGATGACATGTTGTAACGCAAACGTTTAATAAAATGACATTTTCTTTTTAACTGAATGCTAGCAATGAATATTAATAAAATGCTGGAAAGGTTGTGTAAAGGTTGTGTAGGTTGCTACAAAATGACCTGGTGAAGCATCTGATAACCATTTAGGTTAAATGGAAACTTAACTGGGTATAAAAAGAGGACCTCAGAGCTGCTCGATCTATCAGAGAGACCCAGCCTCTTTAATAAGAGGACAGAATCCAGCATTCATGACAATATGGGAGAGCATTAGAGCATATGGAAGGGGTCGACCTTCACATCTGTAAAGACCCATCAGTGCTGAATGAAAAATTGTGGAGCCATTTTCAGGGAGGTGTTTTTGTTTTTTTTTTGACACTTTTTATTTGTTTAGGAACATTTTTATGCAACAAGATAAAATAGAAAAAGAAAAAGAAAAAACAGAAACAGTATGAGGTCATGGGAAGATAATGTACACCTGTACATACATCTGCACATCCACACATGCATACGTCAACAAGTCTGCATTACTAATTCTATGCATTAAAGGGTGCTGCCACAAGCTGTAAAGTCCAGCCATTTTCTCCACCGTCTCCTTCCCAAATCTCCCTGCAGTCGCAGAGTGAAAGTCATACATTCCATCAATTTGACGTCTTCCACTATAGAGGTAAAAAGTGTTACAGTGGGAGGATCTCTACAGAGCCAGCGTTTTGTTATGGCCTTCTTCGCAGAAGCCAAGAGAACTTTCAGAAGGTAAACATCATCTGCAACTAAATCGTCTGTAAAATATCCCAGATACAATGAGGTAAATGTACAAGACACGTGGAATCCCAACACCTCTGTAATTATCTTTATAACTTCCGTCCAGAAGGGTCGTATGAGTGGGCAGGACCAGAATATATGACCGTAATCAGCCATGACTTCCCCACAATTCCTCCAGCAAAACGCAGGTGTAGCACTGAATTTAGACTTCTGTTTAGGCGTTATGAAATAGCGTATAATGTTCTTCCAGCAGAAGTCCCGCCACATGTTGGAGTTAGTCGTGGTAAACTGTGTCTCCCAGATCCGTGCCCACCCATCTTCTGTAATCACAATGTCCATTTCTTTTTCCCATTTCTGCTTTATGTAAATCGTTGAGTGCCCTTTGAGCTTAGTCAGACATTTATACAGTTTACTTATCAAGGCTCTGTTACTCCCAGAGTCATAAGCATCAATGAAAATATTAACAATCGAGAAGTCTCCACGGACACAGCTCTTCAGTCTTTTGCCAATATAGTCACGGAGTTGCAAGTATCGAAAAAAGTCTTGTTTCCCGAGATCGTAAGTCTGCATAGGTTTGTTTAAATCTACTATCGTGGGAAGCAGGTAGAAAATCAGGGTCATACGCTGGCCACCTCAGAAGTTTTATCTCTTCCTGGAGTTGCGCCTGCTTGACCACTCCCCTCCATATTTTTAATGTAAAAGTGACCCAGTGGCTGGGCGTCAAGGTATCGTCCAAATCAGAAGCCGCGTGACCAAGTCTAGACTGGATTGGCGTGTCTGAGAGAGACATCTCAATAGTCTTCCACCTCGCACAAAAAGATGGATTACACCAACACACCAAGGACCTCAGCTGAGCAGATAAGTAGTAATTCCTTAATGAAGGTAGAGTCAAGCCCCCTTTGTCTTTCGGCAACTGCAAAGTAGAGAACTTCACCCTTGGTCTTTTGTTAAGCCAAATGAATCTCGAAATCTGCTTATTCCATTCCCTGAATTGCTTCTCTGGAATTTGAATAGGTAAAGCAAGAAAAAGATAGAGTAGTTTGGGAAGAATATTCACTTTAATTATCTGTATCCTGTTGCCAAGGTCGAGAGGGAGCAAGGCCCAAATGTTGAGATCGCTATATATTTCTCTATTAATACGACTGTAATTAATATCATACAGTTGTGTCAGATCTCTAGGCAGGGAAGTGTTTTTTTTTATATCATTTAGCTAAAAATAAAACTTTACAGTACGACACCAGGTATCAGCTACCTGCAATGCAGTCTACAGATCCCTCCCCATGTGCTTCAACCCCCACTCACACCCTGCTTCAGGTTACCTCAATAGGTCACAATGTCTCACATAGTGGTTTACCCTTAACCCCTGGTGATGATTTAAGACCCTAGTCTTTGTTCACACTTTGGCTCATGTGACAACTCTCATGATCAGTAGCAGGTCAACAAACAAAGGGGAGAAGTCCCACTAGGGGTTAAATATCTCTCAAGACTACTATGACCTGGATGACTGAGAACCTATACAAACATGATAGTTTAAAACCCACTGGGTCATTGGTAAACCATCTAGGGTTCAGTCTTAATTTCACTGACCAATAATTTTCATCGCAGTTTTTTCCCCCCCCTCACAAAACATGAGAATAACGAAACGAAAACTAACGGACGAAAACTGATGAAACATAGCGACACTTTCATCAACAACTATAAACAAAATATTCAGAGAGATAAGATCCAATCAGAACTAATTAAGTTGTGCAGAAAGGCGGGACGATTTAGGAAACGATCCAATCAGAATGAAGGTTAGACCTGACAAATGGCATCCGTACAACCAGCTCCCCTGTTTCTCATGAAAACGACAACACTTGGAAGGATTTCAAAATAAGACTTTGTAAACCTTGTGGAGCACCTCTGCTCTGTAAAGACATGACAAACCTTTTCACTTTAGTCAATGAATCAACTTTTGAATTTGGCTCCTATAATCTTAATAATAAAACTACAAGTCGAATAAAACTAAAAGTATTTAGATGTCTAAATTATGACTAAAACTAAATCAAATATTGCAGTAAAAATTAATGCTGCTAGAGTTTGGTTAACACCATGTAAGAGTAACTTCCAGTAAAAAAAAAAAAAAAAAAATTTAAAAAATTTAAAAAAAAAAAAAAATGTTTAAAGCAAATAATGAAATTAAAAAAAAAAAAAAATATATTATATATATATAGTATTATATAATATATATATATATATATATTATATTGATATATATATATATATATCATACACACACACACACACACACACATACAATAATAATAACAACAGCAAATAATTACTTTTGTTGTGATGAATGTTTGAAACAGTCAGCGGGATGTTGTAAGAACTGCCAGTTCTGGAGGATTTGTTAGCTGTTTGTAAATCAGTCTAAATGCTGTGATATACACGCAGCTTTACTCATTGAGTTCAGGCAATAAAAAAAATAAATAAAATAAAAAAGGAGTAGAAATTTTGAGAATCACATTTAAGGAATGTGCACAGCAGCTAAAAACAGACTGGGATGCAGAGAAGAACAGAGAGAAAGTGGATAGTGGAAGACTGAAGAAGAGGCTAAGGCTGCTTCTTGTCGCTCCATTCCCCTTTCATCTCCTTGCTAACAAGAACACCACGCACAAGAAAACACACTAAGTAATAAAAGAGAGGAGCAGACAGGAACAGCATGCGATGATTGGATTTCAGTGAGCGATGATTGAGGTTTCATTACTGCCACTATAACCATAACCTTTAAGAGCATCAAACACAACCACATGATGCACGTCCACGGATTTCACAATCTCCGCAGGTCGATCCCTCTCATGTACAGTTTTCTGTCTTCGTTTGCTTTTATTTTCTCCCTCCTTTTGGACAAATAAAGGAAACAAGACAAAAGACAACACACACACATATAAGGAGAAAACAATCTGATGGTAGTAGCGCTCATCAGCAGGGCCTCTTAGCTGCTGACACACACACAGTCAGGTTTCAACTTACATTAACTTAATTTAACCAAAACCTACACAATCTAAAACCTAACCTTTGACCCAACAGGTTATTAACACTCAAATCAAGTCATTTGCATGGAGGAAACGATTGTTTGTGTGTCCAAAACAAGTCCGCACCATTTATGTCCCCGCAATCTAAGTACTAACAAGGACACACACTCAGCAGGAGAGCTCACACTCAAACAGCAAGTCACAGGGACAGTCACACTCACGCAGCGAGAGGTGGAACAGATACGGCGGTGAGTAACACAACCGAGTGTCAGAGAGATATGAGAGAGATCAGGACAGAAGAAGGAAAGAGACATAAGCAATATAAAATAGCAGGAAGAGGGAGAAATAAGGGTGAGAGAGAAAGGGAAGGAAAGGAAAGGAAAGGAAAGGAAAGGAAAGGAAAGGAAAGGAAAGGAAAGGAAAAACAAGCGATAGGAGGAAAGATGAGCAAAATAGAAGAGAAGAATGAAGGAGGAGAGGAAAAAGTGGAAAGAAATGGAAAGAAAGCTAATGCAAACTAAATGAGAAGAGAGCAAGATGATGAGGGAAGGTCCAGCAAATGGGGGGAAAAATAAATGAAAAGGGAAGAAAATATGAGGAAAGTAGAGAATGGAAAGACAAGGACAATATAGAGGACAGGAAATAGATATATTTTATTTATCTTTCAATATAGACTGAAAGAAAAAGAGGCGAGAAGAAAGAAAGGAGCAAGAAGGAAAGGGAACAGCAGTAAAGGAAAGACAGCAGGATGAAGAAGGAAGGTCCAGAAAATGAAAGAAAAATTAAATGAAAACAAAAGAAGTTGGAGAAAGTTGGGAAAAAGAGGAAAGGTAGGAAATGGAAAAAATAAAAACTCTAAAGAAAGCACAAAAGGGAAAGTCAAAGGAAGAAAAGAGGATGAAAGAGTGAGAACAAGGAATGGAGCAAGGAGAAGAGCAGTGAAGGCAAGGAAAGGCAAGGCAAGGCAAGGCAAGGAAAGGAAAGGAAAGGAAAGGCAAGGCAAGGAAAGGAAAGGAAAGGAAAGGAAAGGAAAGGAAAGGAAAGGAAAGGAAAGGAAAGGAAAGGAGATGCACCAACAGTTAAAAAAAGGATAAGAAATGAGAACTCAGAGGAATGGAGAGGAAATAGAAATAGACAAAGTGGATAAAATGCCTGCAGTCAGAAATACTTGATGAAATAGAGGACAAAAAGGATAGAGCAATTACACTAATTAATCACATGGCAGATAAGAATTTCCACTCAGGCCCGTCTTCGCTCCAAGCGTGTATCTCTGTACGTATCAGGAATGTTTTATCATTGCTTTCACTGCTGCTCCATCCGGAGCTGCTGAAGTCATTCGCGTGTCCTTGCTTCATCGTTCAGCTCGGTGCAGGGCTGAGACGGCACAGTTCATTACACTCAGTGATACTGAACTACAAGGTCCATCCTTACTGTCACATATACTGCATGCTGTCATTTTACTGCAGCATGTCAGCCAGAAAATAGATTTTTGTAAAGACCTCTTATCAATTTACTAATACCGGTACATTTAAGCCAATTATCTGAAAAATGTGAAGAAAAATTACTGACATATCAATTTTTTTCACTCTAACTTTTGACTCATACGTGAAATATTTGATGTATTATCCTCACTACAAGCCTACATAGCTGATCTCATGAAAAGTCTCATGGAAGAATGTGGGTGCTCGTAAAAGATCTGCTGCAGTGCTGTTATTGAAACGTGTGTCAAGACGCAGATTCTTCAAACTTTAGTGCTTCATCAGAGTTTTAGGAACAAGTTGCAGATTTTTGTCAGACTTTCTGAAAGTTTTGGGGAGAGGAAGGTCAAAACCAGCAGAGGAGGGCTCGCCTTTCATAATCCAACAAATGCCACACTTGCAGCTTTTGTAAGGCTATTTCTAGAAAAAGTTCCACCTTGACAACAGTACAATATGCTTTATGTTTGAGACTCCATACGAGTCTTTTACCATAAATTTAGCTTGTGTAAACTGTAAATTTTCAAGAGTGAAAAAGGTACATCTGAAAAATGTACTTAATTGCACTATTTCCTCTAGACATCTTTAAAGTTACAGTGTGTAAAATCTCACCACTAGATGTCAGTAGATTGCAGATTGTGGTCAACTGAGTCGTGTTTTCTTACCCCAGAGGGGTTTTTTGTTTTGGGTTTTTTTTTGCTATTTGTAGGGCTGGTGGTCCACTGTTTAATTCAGCTGTCAATGCTGGATGATAATCAGCACTTGCAACAATATCAGGAAATATATAAGCACGTTTATTCACATTTCGGTAGTCGGAGGAATCAAAATCTCTAAAAGTAGTAAAATGGTGGGGTTTCTGGTTTACTTTCAACAAATCTTGGTCATATTTTTCCTGTGTTTTTCTTAATGAAATGAGTAAAGCTTTTCTTAATGAATAGAGAACTTTTTTTGTATAAGTTTGGAAATTGTTTTGTCATTTTTAGCAGCTGTGTCTTCATGATATTTGCTTTGTGTTTGTTATGCAATAGATGAGGATCTTTTACAGCTCACTGGGGAAAAAACGATTGTTTGGACCCCCTATGAGACAATAAACAATATAATAACAAAGAGATTTCAGAAAATTTGCAGCAATGAACTGCAGCTTATTATTTTGGTGTGTGAGTCTCAGTGAGCACAACTGGTCCACATATAATTGAAACGATGAGTCTGGGATACCTTACTTAAAGACGTCCATGCGTTTTTTTCTATTATTTCTGGAATGTGAAAACAAACAATGTATTTTACGCTTGAGGAAATGAAACCCTACTTTAAAAAAATGATGGAAATGGTTTGTTTTTTCTTACAGTATAAGTGATTTTCCCCTGAGGGAGACCCAAACCCTTTCTGTTTCCTATGCACGAAAAACCCTGAGTGAACTGCCAACTCGACCTATGGATTTATAAACTCTGTACCTCAGTTTGTTCTGTACACTTAAACCTGCTCTGAATACAACACCCACTGCAGCTGTGTCACTGCTGTGATGTTTCCCAGTGAGGTGGGGTGCGCTAAGCGAGCCGTTTTGCTGTCAGAGGGTTGATTCTGTGTTGTGTTTAAAGTTGTTTAAAACTGCAGAAAATTAAAATTAAAAAGGAAACATAATTACAGGAAGCTGCTGTGATGTCACCAACAAGCATGTCATCTTAGTTGTGCTTTGAAGAGGTCAAACGGGCTTAAGGGTCAGGGGGGGGGGGAGATTATATGGAGGAAGGGAGCTCTTTTAGACATCCTGGAATGTGGGTGAGGCATTTTGTAGCTCTCCGAGGTGGTGGGGAATAGAGAATTTATTTTTACTGCATATTAATATTTGAGCATACTCAACATGGCTATAAACCTGTCATGTTTAATCTGAAGAAGGAAATTTCCATCTGTCTCATGAAGAACGCAAATGTTCCCTTCTCTAAATCCCTTAAATATGTTTTTGTTTTTTATGCTGAAAGAGCTGTTGTTGCTCTTATTCTTCTTTTTCTTCGTTAGATCTAATTTATTTAGTCATGTTGTGCAAAAAATTTGCACATAAACTCAGAGAGGACACCGCTGCGCCCTGCTGCTCTCCATCAACTCTGCAGCAGAAGTCAAGGCTAGGAACTCACCCCACCCCAGTTGAGCGTCCTGGCGAGGTCATTTCCTGTTCCCAGAGGAAGCACAGCGACCGGAGGCTGGGGATTCATCTGCAGCTCATCGAGAGCAGACAGGATCCAACCCACCTACAGCGAGACATGAAGGCAAAGTGTAAGTTGTAGAAATTTAGAATAGAAAATAGTGGCTATTAGAGATGTATAGTCACCGTGCCATCTCCTCCGCAGGCAAGGATCCTCAGATTTGGCACTTTGCGATACAACTCCAACCTAACAAAGCAGAGAGGTAATATTATAGAATAAAAGACTGCTGATTAGTGTTGAGTGGGTGTAATTGGTCCAGATTTTATGAAAATTGTTCACCTGTGAGCTTTGGATTTAAATAAAAGAGGAGTGAAAAGATGGCTTTCCCCCCTCAGAGGTGGACTGAGATAAGGGTGATGTGAAATGAAGATTTAAAGTAGGTAATTGGTACTAAACTGTCAAGCTCAGGGTGATTTCAGCCTAACTGTGTAGGCTGTAATGAAACACCAGCACTCTCCCCAAGGGAAGATTACTCACGCCTCGCGCAGTCCACCCTGCGAAAGGTCGAAGACTTGACGAGGATTCAAGATCCACATAAACATCTGTAACACTTTGGCACCCTACAGAAAAAGCAGAAAAAAATTCAGCTTCCTTCATGTTACAATATTTAAAAAGCTGCCACTAACAGCAAGCAAATAAAAAAAAATCTGTGATAATCTGAGAAATGAATCTCTAAATCTTAAACTAAACCCAGTGTTATGTTCTGAAGATGTTGCTGATGAAGTCTAAAAGATTATAGTAAGCAGTGGAGCCCTGAACTTTTACCTGACGGAGTTGCAGGTAAGATGCAAACATCTGCCTCAGCTGAATGAGCCTTTAACTTGTTTAACTCCCCAGTACAAATCTGCGTGTTGTCCATATATCTGAGAGCTGTGCAGGTAATCTTCCGGTGGATTCACAGCTGTGTCCTACCTCCTGCATGCTCGCCTAAACAAAACGGAGTATTTCCTGCAGCGCCAACACTTCTGAAGCTAACCGTTTCCTGTTGTGTGATACATTTGTGAAACTTCTGAAGATGTTTCCGCCCGAATCTCCCGATAATGTTTGGAGTTCATGTGTGAAAACAGCTCAGCTCAGTTCATCTGATAAACCAAATTTTTGTCTGAACCGACATCCTCACAATGAAAATTAATTATAGACAGGCTGAGGACAGACGAGGTGAGGCAGCGACAATATCTCCAAACAACAATGAGAAGCGAAGGCGTCTCAAACAGATGAAAACAGAAGATTAAAGACATTTTCTCACCTGGTTGCCGCCGCTCTTTGGATTCACAAAAACCAAGATGGGCTTCATGAGGGGAGAGGGGAGAGGCTTCAGCATGAACGGACGCCATTTAGACTCCTAAGAGATCAATAAGATCAAAATATTAGAATGTTCACATAACATAAATGTTAAAATCATGATCCATTCATTATGGTGCAAAGTTTGGGCATATATGATGACTGCTGAGAAATTTTAGCTTGATATATCAATTTTTGTATTTTATGAAAATCAGTCGGTCGATCCAGTTCCAGATGGTGGAGCAGAAGCCCGCGATGATTTGAGATCAGATGACCCTAATAATCCAATAATAGACTGTATAGCAAAGATGGACATAGCTTCCTAGAGCTTGGTTTGATTAGGCAATTTTGGTGTTGTTCTTTTTTTCTTCTTTAAACTAAGCATGAGAGCGAGGTGTGGACATGACTGAAAAACAGCTCTGCACAGATACAATACCGACATGTCAATCACAGGTTAGCCATGCCCTCAGTTATATTCTACTTCCTCCTCCATATTTTTTGTAAATATTTTTTCATCATGCTCAAGTGAAGACTAATAAAAAGAAAAATAACTAAGAAAACATTTAGTGTGTTTAAAATGAAAAGAAATAAGGTAACTTCTCCAAATACCTCTACTCGATCTAATTTTTTTGCACAGTTAGAGCAGTCGCCCCCTGCTGGCCATCAGAATCCAGGCAGATTTAAAGCAAGAATTTTTCATTTCATACCTAAATGAAGTCGATGTTTTATAAACACAGTTTGAAGTCAGCCGGCAACGACTTTTATTTAGTTTAATGTTTTTTTTTTTACTTGAGTCGAGATCACATGAAGGATAAACATGAGCTAAAAATGTATTATGACAGTGTAACTGATAATATCACTTACATCTAATCCCTTCTTGCTTGTCCTTCGTTTGAAAGATGTCCGCTTTTTTCTTCTGGCAGAGTTCTTTAGGGAGCTCTAAGGTACACATACACACACAGAGTTCAGTGGTTAGTTCACTGTCACCACGTCCCCTATGATGGTAATTAAAAGTGCAATGAAGCATGTGACGCGACAGAGATATACAGTATGTGTGTGCGTGTCTGTGTGTGATAACAGAGACACAATCCCAGAGTTCCCTCAGACAGACCAGACACGTGTCAGTTCGCATCTTATCATACCCCAAAAATCACACACACATTAGCACACACTGAGCTTGTGACACGCCTTCTTTTTGAGTCTTAAACTTAGATCGACCAAATCATTTCTCATTACTGTCACAAGATGACACCCAGTGAACTTTATCAACCAGCAGAGCGATCGAGGAGGGTGCTCGGCGAGGGTATGAGCATACCTGTGGTTTCCTGACTTTGATGATCCAGGACGGTGGTACTATGACACCGGCGTGGGCCCCCAGTGAACACGGCTCCTCTATCTGGTGCAGCATGAAACATGTCACCTTGTTGTGGAACTGCAAGGAAAAAAGCCCAAAAAAACCACTCCTCAGGGCCATTGTCCGTGTGTGGTGCTCTAACACAGCTGTTTATAAGAAAACCAAAACACCCTGAGTGCCAATATCTGCTTCTCTTATGCTACCTCAGTGGTGTCAAACATAAGGGTCGGGGGCAAGAACTGGCCCACCAAAGGCTCCAATTCGGTCCAAGGATGGCTTTGGAAAGTACAGTATGAAGGAAGGAAGCGATTTTGGACTTTTAATTGTATTTTCAGAAGTTTTACAGCATCTCCTACTGACATTGCCATTCATGCGACACCAAAGAATCTGAGAAATAGATACACATTTAAAAACAGAACTTCCTGGGGTTTTTTTTTTGGTTAGGTTTTTTTTTTTTTTAGCTACAATAGAATTTTCAATATTTTTATGGAGGATCTGCAGTAAGTAATGAATAAATAAAAAGATAATAATTATAGCTGACAGATTTCTTCCATTAACTACAGCATCTACTGTTGAAATTGCACTTCTATTTTCCTATACTAAGATATGTGAAGGATTCAATATGTAGTTAAACTTCTTTACAATGACAGTAAGGACAGTTTCACTGATCTGGCCCATATAAGGTCAAAGTGGGATATATGTGGCCCAATATGTAAAATGAGTTTGACATCCCTGCTCTGTGTGACAGACATTAAATGGTGCTTTGCTTCAGTGATACTACCAGTCCTCTGGCTCCAGCCTTGAGACGGGTTATTGATCATTTATGTACCCAACGTTTGCTTTATTTTGTGGCTGTATTAGAAAATCAGCTGTAGAGACAGCAGGAAATAAAGGGAGCCACAGACATTAAATGGGTGCAATTACAGTACTGAACCTATGACATATTCCCTGTTCTGGGAACATTTTGAATTTATGTAACCATATACAAAAATATTAAATAGGTTCAGTTACTCTATTGAGCCCATGACACATGTAACATTTTTAAATAATGCAACCACATTTTCAATAAACAAGGACGTGATGCATCATTTTCTTTAAGGTGCTTTCCTTCAGTGACACTAGCAGTCCTCCGCCTCCAGCCTCGAGACAGATTGGGTACATAAATGATTGATAATCTTTACTTTACTGTATGGCTACATTAGAAAATCAGCTGTAGAGACAGCAGGAAATGAGAGACTGGAGGGATTACAGATGTGTCAGTACAACCAGCCTATTCATGAGTGGGGTCTACATGACCTTGTTAATGTGGAAATAATAATAATAACAAATGATGTCACTCTAATATATATTTGGAAATAGGTACAGAAACTTCCTGTAGTGCTTAAGTTTATATTTAATCCACTTCAATGCACAATACAACTTGTATTTCCCCACTAATAACATCTTACTGGGGTTAAATATCATATTTACTCGTGAATTAACGGACTTACGGCCTGTTTACACCACGAACAACTGATGGCGATGATTTCTTTACTGTGGAAGAACTTCTGCTGAAAACTCTGCAGAAACAAAGAGGCAGTCTGCATGAACAGGAACAACATCTGTGTGCAGCTGCATGTGTTTTTGAGTGCAAACTCACCTTTCCACACTGTCTACATTTCCCCTCTTGTCGTCGTCTGTGAACCCAGTGGTGTCTGAGGATGTTCTGCCGGCAAACACAGAAACACAATTTCTTTCACTTAACGCCTCAAACAAAAAGCCGACTCCTCCCTCACATTTATGCAGCTACACACTTACATCTCTCAGGGTTCGGGATCCTCCCTCTCTGAAAGTCGGCTTACATCGGAAGTTTATCTAGAAAAAGAGATACGCTGTAGTTCCCATCTGGGGAGGTTGTTTTTCACAGCTACATTTTTACAGATGCTCCATAAATGCATCACATGCAGGCAATCGTTAAGCTACTATTTTGAAAAGCTGACATCTATAATTATAATGATACACTCACTGAATGTGTGTGTGTGTGTAGCTGTGTGTGTAGCTGTGTGTGTGTGTGTGTGTGTTATTATGCCTGTACAAAATTGGCAGATTAGGGTTTTAGTTTTCCCGAGAATCGCTCATTCAGACTAAAAATTAACAAATCATCTGTAGCTACCGTTGGGAATTTGTTTTATTTATGATCACAAAAATTATATATTTTTTCCAACTGCCTTAAGACTTAGGGTTAGTTAGAATTACTGTTAGGATTTGGTATTTGACTGAGATGGCTAAACTTAGGGGTGAAAGAGTTTGGAATATATTCATGCTAAAACTAATTTTAATTTTATTGTGCCAAATCACAACAGCATTTGCCTCAAGGCGCTTTAAATTGTAAGACCCTACAATAATACAGAAAAAACCTCAACAATCAGACCCCCAGTGAGCAAGCACTTGGTGACAGTGGGAAGGAAAAACTCCCTTTAAACAGGAAAAAACATCCGGCAGAACCAAGCTCAGGAAAGTGCAGGCATCTGCTGTGACTGGTTGGGGTGAGGAGAGGAAGCCAGGACAAAGGACACAAAACCAAGATCAGTGAAACTTTGATGCACAGACATAAAGACCTTTCAAAAATTATTAGTAAGCTACAGTAAACTTTATTACATCAGAGCATCTTTAATCACCTGAGAGCCCGAATTCTCACATCTCAACATTGCATTTAGGCTTTTCTGAACCTTATGCATCAATTAAATGTTTTATACTTTTAACAGTGGCGAATTATTGTTTTATCTCTAGTAAACGTTCATGTGAGAATTTAGTAAGAGCCAGTCCAAAGCCAAAATGGGAAACTTATTAGCCAGTCATGTTGCAAGTAAACAGCAGAGGTCCATGACAGTTTAAACTGTGTGGTGGAGAGCATACTGCCTTGTTAAGTACAGGGGTAGTGCTAGTACTAGTAGCATTCTTACTATTTCATAATATGGACAAGTATTTCATATAATCAGTGCTCTGGAGAATGAGCAGAGACATATCACCACTCTGAATTGATCTGTTAATAAAGCAGTAATGTTGTCAGACTTCTACATGCACAGTAGAAATATGGCTTGAAGGGGAAAAGGCTTTTTAACCTAATGTTCAGGCACAGTCATTAAACTTTACTCAGGTACTTTGCAGACATTTTTCATGACTCAGTGACCACTGAAGTTAAGTTACGGCTCTCACGGCATTGATTTAAAAACAACCTTCATGTGCTTGTAACTGCCCAGAGGCTTTGTCAAGTGTAAGACTCATTTCAAGAAGGATTTCCGATTTCATGGAGTACTTCATGCAATAACCCTTTGGAGTGTAATACCTGTAAGATAAGCAGCACATTGGTAACTACAACCCTGTTAAACCCTGTGTATAACCTGGAGTTGTTTTTAGTCTCATGTGTGCTTGTGCTAATAATTAGTAAGGTATTTTGATTCTATATTCAGTTTCTTATATAACTTTTCAATTTTATTTTAAATTTTTACCAATTATTACTTTAATTATTACTTTTTATGTTTAATGTTTTGGCTGCTGTAGCTTTTGGGATAAATAAAATATATGTTTTCTTATCATGCCTCGGCTTCATTTAATTTACATAGGGAAAGAAAATAACAAATCTTATCAAAGGCATTTAAAGATCTTAGAAATAATGGAACAGCTATTTAATATTATATTTATTTGAGTCTCAGAACCCAAGAGCATAAACCAGGGATCGAGAACTATGACAAAAATGAAGTATGAACAATAAACTGTGTGTGTGTGTGTGTGTGTGTGTGTGTGTGTGTGTGTGTGGTGGTGTGTGTGTGTGTGTGTGTGTGTGTGTGTGTGTGTGTGTGTGTACTATGGTTACATATCTTTGTGGGGACAAGAAAAATTGGAAGTTTGCAATACTTGTGGGGATCAACAGCCCTTATGTGGATAAAATACCCATCCCTACAAGTCTGAAGGCATTTTTAAGACTCAAAATGTGGTTTTAGTGACAGGGTTACAATCATGGTCAGGGTTACCCTAACCCTAGGGAAAGCATTATTTCAATTAGATGTCCCCACAAGGATATGAAAACATGACTCTGTGTGTTGTTGTGTGTGTGTGTGTGTGTGTGTGTGTGTGTGTGTGTGTGTGTGTGTGTGTGTGTGTGTTCTGTGTCACAGTGTTGTGTCAGCCGGTGTGAACAACAATCTTACAGGCTGCACATTTCCTCCTGGGGGCCGACTTCTTAAAAAGAGAGTACAAAGGGCAGAGTAAGACACACAAAATCCACACAGCACACAGCAAATGAAACAAACGCAAGCAGTGTAAGAACACACTAACAGCAACCTGCTGTTACACACTGGCAAGATGTGCTCAAGGTCCCCCAACATTTTACCTTTACTCCAGTTCAGTTTGAAAAGCAGTGGCAGACTTTTATTAGCACCACTAACAGCACAGTGACACTCCAGGCTTGAGGAGAGGAGTCCGTTTCTGTTATTTTTTTCACCAGCCATTATTCAAAATGGAAAAAATAAGGATTTTAAGAACATTAGCTTATATTTCTGACTCTTCAATAGGTATAGGTGTCACTACCCAATCTTTAGAGAAAATGTCTTTTATGTTACTTTCATGTCAATATCAACATTAAAAAACAAACAAAAAAACCTTGATATCTTTGCTTGGTTCTACAAAGAACTTCAGATTATTGGCTAATTTTTTTTCTATTAAAAGAAAAAGAAATTCTAATGTTGTGTATGTTCTTTTCCTTTAAAAAAAAATGCAAAAATACATAAAAATCATGAATAAAAGCCATATGTTGTTATTAATATATACATTTATCACTAATAAAATACATACGATTTTTTGTGAACCACTAAAATAATAATAATAATAATAAATAATTTTTCACCAATTTGATAAATAATTGTGCATATTTTTAACTGAATTAGTTTTATATAACTAATTCAGGGTTTTTTTTAACATTTTCATTCATGGATTACAAACTACATAAAAAAAAAATCAGCAACCACAGTCCTTACCTTTTAACAGTTTATGTACAGTGAATGTAATAATATATTTAATCATTTAAATATTACATTTTTACTGTATTAAGAAAAATTTAATCCTGCATTGAAATTTCTAAAATCTAAATTGAAATTTAGATAATTTGTTTTAAGCTGATTTACATACATTTAAGCCATTTTATCTAGAGCAGTCACATGCTGCATAACGTTTATAGACTTTTATGGTGAAAGGAATGTACAAAAAAAACCAAATGAGGCTTGGACGAATTCATCGTAGAAAGACCCACTGGCTTGTAGACGTGGGTTTTAAAACTTAATTTTGGTATCCTGGTTATTTGAAATAAGACATTACGAGGGTCAGGTGGCCTAACCGAGACCAGCACTGAAGTTCTGGTTACAGTGAGATAATTACAGACAAAATTATTTCACAAGAGTCGCCCCCTGTTGGCCATTTAAATGAATGCAGGTTTAAGGTAATTTAGCTTCAGCTTCAATTTCCAGACCCAGAAAATAATCTTTACTGCTGTGGGGCTGGGAAAAACACACACACAAAAACCCACAAAAAACAAATCTCTAAGGTAAAAGAATGAATTAAAAGCGCAGAGTAATTTATCACACAGTGACTGGCAAAAAAAAAAAAGCAAACACTCAAGATGCCAAAGTGCGATTTGCCTTCAATAAATAACACTGCCGTGCTTCCCTTGCTCTTGCAACAGACAAACTACTCATTATGAGTAATAATATGACAACTAATAATGGAGTGGTCTCATCTCCAGTCAATGAGTTCACTCTTGAATGTCACACTGAGCAATACTCAGAGCTACTCCCACGAACACACACACACACACACACAACAGGAAAAGAAAACAAAAAACAATAACAAAAACAACGTTTCACCCTCATTTTTCATGGGTTAGTAGCTCTGAATGTTCTGCTTGGAAAGCCCCGCCACAAGATCAGCTTCTTACATGAACTATCATGCTGAGACAAGCAAGACATCCTTTTTCAAGATGCCACAAGAGTTAAAACTCCAAGATAAATGAAGGTTCTAAACAGAGGAACTTTATTTATTACACACAAAATACATTTTTAATGGTCATTGTCAGGGAACGTTAAACAGCTGTGTAAAACAATTAATGTCCGGTAGTCTTTTAACAGCATGTTTTTCACAGAAAAGGAAACAAAGTATGACATCATTTTACTTTACACATTTTACAATCACCAAATAACCAGTAGTTATAAAGCACTACAAATTTTAAACCAGTCGGGCAAAGCATTAAAGCCTTGAATAAATACTCCTGCCTAACACTGCTGAACTCAGGACCAGGATAGGGAAGTTTCCCAGAAGAGCGCTGAGCTGTAATCAGATCAGCAGTCTCATTCAGTTTACCTATGAGTGGATTTAAGGTATGGCTGAGCAGAGAGACAAGCATTGGGACTGAGGCATTTAAATGTGTTATCAACGGAATCATACTCAGCCACAATCCCAGTAGATCAGCTGATTTCAATGCCAGCCAGCATACAGTTGGTGGGCCAGATCGTGGCTTTGTATCACACCTCCAACCACATCGCTCTATCAAGACAATAATCATAATATAGCGAGAATGAGGAGGTCCCAGGCAGGAGCCGAGCCATGCCATCAAATATAGATTTCAGTAGACCAAAATAACAATATTCCTTTACGTAAGGTGGTCCTCACTGAAATGATGCTAAAAACATCAATCCAATTAATCAAAAAGAAACAACCCCAGAACATGAAGGATACTAAGAAGACTTCATGAGTGTTTACTAACCGGCATGTCTAAGTAGTACCATGTCTGAGGTGAGGCGGGCACTGTACCAGTCTGTTCTGCTGAATAGAGAGCTGAGCATTTAGGAGAAGATGTGAATTTACTGTCTGATTGATCCTCAGCTCTGCCCACAGACTGTGGGTACCAAACTAAAGAGTGAGATGCAAGCAGCAAACAAGCTTCTAGGTCTGGGCTCAGCCTCAGAGATAGGGTGAGGTTTCTGAGGTAGTTCCCAAAACGATCTGTCGTTTTCCAACACAATATGCATTCACAAGAGTAATGCAAGGTGGAAATTCTTTTCACACCATGTCCAAGCTTGAAGATTGGCAAAACAACACTGATGGAATAGTCCCTTCTCGTCCCAGAAAGAGGTTTGCCATCATTCCCGAAAAAATTTCTTTAACCATCTGTACCCCATAACAGCCATGGCCAACTGGCGTGATGCTACGACTGTTGGTGTATAAAAACAGTTTTGTACACACTACATTTTAACATATTTTAGGACACTCAAGCCTTAGCTGGCATAATCTGTTTTGGTTATAGCCGACTTGTTGTCAGCTGTCTGGAGACGGGAGTGTTGCATGACTGACAATGATAAATAAATAGAATAAATGGAGAATAAGTCATCATTTTAATGCACATTTTATTGTTTTAGAGCCACGACTTGAGTTCAAGAGGAGGATGAGGTGTAGATGAGGGAGGACAGAGCAGTGGTGGAGGAGGCCGATGAAGAGTAGGAGGCAAAACAGAAAAGAGATGATGAGAATAACATTATGAAATGTGCAACTGTACAAATCTTAATTGGTCAAATATAATTTTAAAGAGCTACTTGTGATCTGTAAATCAAAACTAACTTATAACTGAGACTTTACATAACTTTTTTTTAGCTGTAATCAGGTGTTTAGAATTTGTAATCAGATTTCTCTTTCTTTCAGCAATCTGGAATATTCCAATAGAAACATACCAGGGTATAGAGGATTGAATGGACTGAATGGAGAATGGGTGGATGGACAGATTTATGGATGGGTGGGTGGATGGTAATCCATGATTATGAAGCATGCCATGGAGGTCTTTACTTCCTTTTCAAACACTCTTTGTTAAGCGTGTAATAGGAGAGAGGAGGTATTTTCTGCAGCATTTGCCTTACATGAGGTAAAAACCTCAGCTGCTTCCTTCAGACAGCCTGGTTGTTCCTTCATGACTGAGATTAAATCGAGCTGATCCTGCTGAAAACAGGTAGGAATGTGTTTACTTACGTCAGCCACGACTTGTCAAAGCGATCTCAGATTCCTCTGAGGTCGGCATATCCTCTTGGACATTTATCTAACACAAATCACCACAGAGAGATTATTTCTTGCTGCAGCTCAATCTTGACAGCGTCTTAATGTGTTTTTATACGTGCACTATAATTACCTTCCATCAGTGGAAATGTACAAAGATGTCATTACATTAGTGTAGTGAATTAAAGGCTGTTTCTCAGCTCTGTATAGCAGGTGCTGTTTTTCTTGTAAGAGCTGAATAGATGGACAAAAGGTCAACAACAGCTCTCATTCAGACTCTTTCTTTGCAGCCCTGCATGCTTGTAGTCAACGACACTTCAGAACACACTTCCTTCTCTGTTTTTGGAGTAATTAATTCTCTGCTTTGTGGACATGTTTCACCTGAATCAGAGTGTGGCATCCTGTTTAAAATAATGCTTTGTTTTAGCATTTACAACAGAATACGAAACGCTCCTTTTGCAGAACACTGGGACCACCTGCTCTGCAAATGAAGCACAAATGATGTGTTTCAATGAGTGTTTCATGTGTGGCACTAAAAATCACAACCTGGTACTACACGGAAATTTTGTATTACCTGCTCCTGATGCCACATTTTAGAGTCATCATGTTTTTGCTTTTTGTTTTTGTCTCATTAACATAGCACTAGCAATAACAGGCCTTTTTATTCTGCAGCTGCACTAAAGAGACAAAACTCTGCTGCATGAAAAAGCTTTTAAGAATCAGATGTGTTTCGGGCAGCATTATTAGGTGCTGATATAAGAGACTCTGGTCATGGTTGGTTCAGGCTGATTAACTCTGCAATTGTCACATTTCCACACATGCATCGACAGTTGCTTGTTGTACACAGCGAAACCTACAGAAAACCTACAGAAGTTCAAATAAAAGTCTATTTTTGCAGACAAACTACTGACTTAGTCTAGCACGATGTTGATGTCAGCCGTCTTACATTCTGTCGCAGGGTTGAGTCTAAAGGGGGGGGGGGATGGGGTGTACAAGACCACAACCAAGCCAACTAGCAATAGCTGATAAATTGGCACATCAACCTTTGGTCAATATAAGGTAACGTCTGGCTCCAAAACACCAACATGACAGAGGCCAAAACAATAAATGTCACCAGCTGCACTCCCAGATGGCAGAGTTGGAGGTCATCTGAACTTTGCAAGTGAATCAGATGAATGATATCGAGAACAGCCACAACACTGACCTGGCCACTGAGTCGGCTGGTAGACGATAAAGACCCCCCCAATAGCTAATCATACTACACAACCGTAATGAATTGATAAACAGACAACTTCCTGTTTTTTCATTAACTACTCTAAAACTTTAAGGGACAATCTGAGTAAAGAGCTACCAGAACTTTTTCTGTATTTTTTGCACATTTATTTCTGACAATTTAAACCCAAACAGTTGCGCTGATCACAGTGCTTCTTTACTATGCAGAAAAAAGTTACTGCTGAAGGTTCACTTCTTTTTCTTATATTAAGATATCAAAGGGACTAAATGTGTAGTTAAATGTCTTCACTATAACAGAAAGGAGAGTTTCTCTGGTCTGGCCCACTTAAGACCAAATTGGGCTGTATGTGGGCCATGATCTAAAATTAATTTAAGATGCCATTGTATCCATTTTTTTAATCAATTCAAACTGAAAAGATTTTTTAAAAATGCATTAATTAGCATTAGTTTTCATTTTCATTTTTAAAAAGTTTCACTGAATGATTCACAGATGCTGCTAAAGGATAAAATTCTTAATAATGTGTGAGAAAATCATTTTCGAAGAGGGACCCAAAACTACTTCTACTTGGTTTGTATTCAGAAGGACACAAATATAAATACAAATAACAAAGCTGAGCAACATTAATAAGTCTCAGTTTTTGCATACCAAAAAGCTAAATGTCTAGGGGGAATAACGCCTAAACCAAATGCTTATGAGTGCATAAGACAAATATGAAACCTCCCTTTAAAAATACAAATATATACCAAAGCCTGAAGATGATGTACTTGAAAAGATTTCGGGACCTTTACTGAGTTTTTTGGAGGATTTGAATCTAACAATAAGTCAGTCAGACTAGTTAGTTGTTCTAGACCATACATGTTTTGTTGCATTGTCTTTTTTCTGAAGTTCGCTTCTCTTTTTCTGAGGATCTGGGTACCGTGTTGATTACAAGGAGCAAAATCTTTTTGGGATTCTTTTTAGTCCAGTTATTTAATGTTCATAAGACCATTACTTAAAAGAAATAAATATACATATTCTAGAAAAAACAAAAGTCTTTCACTGTATCTGACATGCTAACATAGGATTTGTATAAGGACTATAGATTACTCACAGCTGTCTTTAGCACGCAGGTGTCCTCTCCGAGATAACAGAGCTCTCCTGAGCAGCTCGTCTCCATCCACAGGTGATCCCCATTCACTGCGTTCTCCTACGGAGAAGCAGACAAGAGAGAGAAAATGAGCGGGGAATAATCATAAAATTAGTCAACATTGTCTCACTCACATTTAACTGCAACCATATGGACATGAGCACATGAGTTCAACAAGTGTGTCAAGCACATAACTGCCACTGCTGAGTAGGTGGGTAACTTCACAGTGCATGTTAATTTAAACACTACTGATTCATGTGCAAACACACTCCTACATGGAGTAATACATGTCAGTGTATATGCGTACAAAGACATTCAAGGTAAATGCATGCAGGCTGAATGTTTGAGTAAAATTGTGTCACCGGGTTTACTGCACAGCTGTGATCACGCTCCCTCAGCTCAGATGTGAAAGGTTTTGCTTGCTCATTCATTCAGTAATGGAAAAATGGATTGGAAGACCTTTTGTTTCATTTGCTAATTATATAATTAACTTGTATTTGTTTAATTATCTTAATATTGCACTTTTCCCTCTCTCTTTTGTGCTTTTTTTGCAACATAAGAAAAAGCCTGATTGTATTTCCTAATAACAGTATGTTGTATGTATATGACAACTTTAACTTAATTTATCAGCTTGGCAACTATCTTACAAAATAAAAGTAAATAATTACTTTTTTTACTGGTTCACACTAGTTTCAAATATAAAATATATGGAATTTAATAATGTAAAGGTCTGGATGTGGTTTTGTATGTGTATATCTATCTGGGACAACGCCTGGCTGAAATGGGAGGGTAATAAGATGACTCAGCTCAGTAGGACTTTGAGAATATAAAAGCTGGCCCAGAAAACCGGGAAGTAAAAATAATAATTAATAGGGCAAATCTCTGCCGTGGGGTCCCTCCATGTCAACATAACATTGGGGATTGACTAGGGTTACCAGATGTCCCTCTTCATGTGGGACTGCATGGCATTTTTATCCCTTGTCTCGAGATAATGTCCCACATTTTGACTGGTACTGTGGGACATGTACTTTTTTACTAAGTGAATATGAAGGAAAGGTTTTTATTACAGTCAGAAGATTCCTTTCGAATGCAACACTCATCAAGGAAAGTAACAAACTTTGCAGATTTTGTTGAATATGATGGAAAAAAAACCACAAAGGAAATGAAGCAGCAGAATACTCTGAGAAATTGCTTTTGTCTATTTTGCAAGAGTTATTTTAAACTTTTATGCTGGGGCAAAATATGTAAAGTGACATGTTATAATTGGATAAAAATCACTACAACTGTAAAATATAGATCAAAATTTTTTAAGTTCAATGTGAACATTTCAGACAACCCCTGGCAAGACATGACATGTCCCACTTTGCCCACACAAACAGTCTTTGTCCCACTTTTACTCTGTTAGGATCTAAGAGATTCTGGCAAGATGGGTTTAATTTAAATCACTATGTCTTATTTACTTCAATCCAAGTTCAATTTTATGAATAATGTGCATAACAGCCAGAAGAGCATAACATGGTCCAACAGGAAGTGCAGTTCCTTCCCAAGCCAATGCAGGCATATCTTTAGCAATCGGGCAAAGAATCTGCAAGGCTTGAAGAAAGATTTCCACAATACGCATCTAAACTCTTTGTCTCCTGTACATTTAACGAGCTACAAAATGTAATGTGGCAAAAATATAGGTTCTTTAAAACTTATAAACACTCATTGTAAAATATAATTTTGCAGCCTTACAACTTTACAGTGACCTACATACACTAACCTTTCAAGGTCCTACATCAAGAGTAATGTGTTATTCCAATATTTTATTTATAATAAAGACTTACTGGCAAAAAGTTGAAGAAAGTAAACAGGCAATAAAAACTGTTATATCTGGTCTTTAAGTCTGACGTCATTAGCCGTGTCTGGGCCTAAACTCCGCTGCAGGTCCATAAGTCAAGCGATCACTGAGAGTTGAAAAACTGTCAAAATTCTTTCATCTGTAATAACATGATCAGTGTGGCTGCTCTACCAGGTGTAACAATTCAGTTTAACATCCAGGCATCCATAAAAACGGAATTTATGACATTTAACGGAATTAGAAGTTAGCAGGGAGTTAGCTCGCTAGCTTCTATCTAAATACAATATAGCATGTCCTGACTGCGGGGTTTCGGAAACAAATTAAGATGTACAGCTCTGCTATCACTTCCGACATAAATGAAGACAGAAAACTAAACAACAGTGACGTTTGTAGGAAGTTTGGCTACCTGGTATATAACGATGTGCTACGTGATCGCTAGCGACACAGCTATGTTAGCATAATAAACACAGTGAAGCTGGAGGATGAACGCTAACTTTTTTCCACTTGATAAAAGTTAACGTGAGGATTCCCGGTGGTCAGGGACAAGTGCAATTGCATGGTAGGATGCTGTAAACGGACCGAACTTCAGTCAGGAGAACAACTGACATAATCCATGCGCAATATGAGGTTAGTCATTCATATACTGCTGCATGGGCTGGGCTGTAGTTACATGGTAACGTTTTAAAAACTGAGCTTTAAAATGAGTAGTGGTAAGAAAAACCGACAGTGATCACTGACTGTTTTTAGGGGCTTTTTGAGATTAAATAGAACAAGATACAAAGTATTAAAACATGTTAAAAACACAAAAGCCTTATTAAATGCAGGGTAGTTTGGGCCTGGAAGCAGGATTCGTCACGTCAGCACTTAAAGACTGGATTACCTGCAAATGCCCCAAAATCTTTAAAAGCACTTTGAAATAACAATTTAATTAAAAAGAATCAGTCACTTAAATTTTTTTTTAACCTCAACCAACTTTCTAGGGTTTACTGTGAGGAGCAGACATTCTGACGTTCCTGCATCTTTTATGAAGTAATTAATGTGGGTTTTGTTATCATAGTGCAGCACTTTTTTCATTAAGTCACAATAATTAGTGACAACTAGAAAATCAATTTGAATGGACATTTGTTTAAATTTCCACTTCCTGTTACACATCTTCTACCAGTGTTCTGGCCCTGCTGGGAATATGGACAAACCCTTTTGGACTTATTAGCACCTAAAAGCAGACCTTAAAGGTCTCAATGAATCGACCCCTGAGTGCATATTAATGAGTGTCTGAGCACAGTGATAATATATGAGTGCATGAGAGCCGTGCAGAGAGATAAAGGGCAGCAATGACGTGCTGAAAGTGTCCCTACAGACGGAGCCCAAGGGAAATCTCAGATGTGAGCCCACAACTGTTTATCTACTTACACCTTCCTATTAATAATAAAGCACATTGCATTTGCTTTTCATTATTGATGCATGAATCATTTAGAGCACAGCTGTCAAATAAATGGAGCGTGGGACAGAAATGGCCCGCCAAAGGTTTCGATCCGGCCCGCGGGATGGCTTTGCAAATGTGAAAAATGGGGAAAGTGGAAGTTGTAAATGTTGTTCGTTTTTGATGGACAAAAACAAACAAAAAAGAAATTACATAAGAAATTAAGGTGTTTTTGAAATGTTTTGTATCACTGCAGATAAACCAGTTTGTTTTTTACAGTAGGTTCACAGTACAAATATATAAATACATAAAATACAATAAAATCAAATAACTAATGGAAGTAGTGGTACTAACACTAAAGGACAGAGGGTGGGTTTTTTTTTTAAATATATTTTTACACAACTGTTTCAGATGTCCACCCCATTTAACTCTTTCCCCCATAAAAACAACATATGACGACCTCCCCCGTATCCTTAATGACATGTTTGGACACCTCAGTATACATAGTTTGACAGCCATTAACATAGAGTACCCTCACAAAGCCTCTATGTGGCTGGCAAATTTTCAATAGATACGACTAATTCTATGAAATGCACCTTTTCACCTTTACATATTCTTCTTGAGTTTGAAGCACTTTGATGTCTTTTTCTTGAATTTTGGAGGCTCGTGTGAAAACGCTCTATTATTTTCTTTTCTTTGTCATGTTTTTTTTTTTAATGGCTTTATTGTACCATAATCATAAAAAAAAAATCTGTTTCAAGTCTGCAAAGTTTTTGCACAAAAGAGTTTATGTAAGTAAAAAGAAAAAAAAACCTTCAGATGATTCATATGATTTTACAGCTTGGACCCAGAGTAATCTGATTTTATTAAATAAAACTAAATGGCAATGGAAGATTTGAAAGAAAGAAGGTGGTAAACAATTTGAAAGAAAAACAACATGGAAAAGATTTTAAATTATTTCATGATTATAAAAAAAATTATCTGCCTGCTTCAGTAATACTATTCAAAACTGTCTCATTGGTCTTTTTGCTTTCAGATTAGGTTCAATTCACATTGTCATCCTGGTGTATCATCAAAAAAACTGCTTCAATTATTTTTATCATTGTTTTAATGCATCTTTGACTATTTTTGACGATTGTTTACTTGCCGTGCCACACACTGCACAATCTGGTGAATATTGCAGATTCATTGTTTTAATACCTGCTTTCACCAGATCACAAGCTCAGGTTTGGAGTGGCGCAACTGCAGACAGGAAGACGGGACTTTTTAAAAATACATTTATTGGGTTCTTTAACAGCATTTTTGAGAATACTTTCCAATTCATGTTGACATTTCCTTAAGCATTAGCACTACATTTAAAACCCAAAGTGTTTTTAATCTGGTGCTTTTGAGTCGTGATTCATGTTTCTTAAATATAACCTATTAAATGTCGAATAATAAACCGCGTCACAAAGTCGTGACACATAAAAGTTTCTTTCCCACGCTGAGATAGAACGGCATTTTTCTTGTAAGGAATTAAAAAAAGGAAGGAAAATCAAATTACTGCTTTCCATTTCCACATGAACATACGGCTGTTGAAACCAGTCTGCTAACAAATCTGTTGGCATAAAAATGCAAATGTCGACAAGTGAATCAGCCAGACAGAATAGGGACAACACAGACTGGGACCAGGAAAAAAAATGTCATCATTGTTCAGATTCACAGTTACATAAAATAAATGTGCATGTGCATTTCTGACCGTCCAGTCCACACAGGTACGTAGTTCCTTGGTGGGGCCGTTGGACGCAGGAGGAAGCGAGGGCTGAGGTGGGCCGAGGTAATGGAGGCCTGAGCGGGAGATCGCTTTCCTAAGAAACGGAAGGAAACACACGGTTATCATTGTCAAGATACTTCATAGTTCTCGGACTTTTCAGTATAATTTAGTACATTATTCATATTAGGAGGCTGCTTTCAAGCGGGCTCAGCTGGAGATATTTGAGGTGAACCAGGAACAGCTTAGCGGAGAGACTGCCAGAGCCACTTTGGGGTGACGAGAGAAGTCGCAGACAGATCTGTTATGTCAGAGGATGAGTCAGCAGTCATCTCTCGCAGACGCTCGCCCCATTATACTTCCTGTTGCAGTTTTCTTAAACTGACTCGAGTACATCTTTATCCACTTCAATTGTCCCCGACTCTTTTATCTCATAGCTCATCTATCTTCTTCTGCAAGTACACAGTACAGTCACCCACATGAGAGGGCCCATCAGAGCATCATCTGTCTACATGCCCATCTATTAACTGCTGATCTACGCAGACACCTCTGCAGTCTCACTGGCTTCAGTCAATGCAAGAGAAAGCAAAAAATAAATAAAAAAATAAATAAATTAAAGTGAAAATATGAAATGAGTGCTCTCCTTCAAGTTAAATCTGTGGATTTGTCTTTTTAAAAGACAGGACAACCGGCCTGTTTGAACAACAGTGAATACCCTAACGTGCCTATTAAAGATAAAGACAAAGTGTCACCTTTATTTGCAAACCACACCCACAGAATGTTGTTTGGCATGGCTTTTTATAGGCACACCAAGGGACTCTTTAAAGTGTTATGACCGGGGCTTTCAAATTCACACTAAGTTGGTAAAAATGAGAGAAGTTAATCATTTGGCATGAACAAGAAGTTTAGTAAAGGAGATGGAGAAGCCACAAAATTTGTTTGACAAGATTAACTTAACTTCACAAAAGTGATGTAGTTACTGAACTTTATGCTTTAATGTGTATTTCCCACCCAGTTGGCAGGTGGTTACCTGCTAACAGAAGAGAGAGAACTGTCACTGTGGCTAAACCTGAACCAAACCACATATGAGTCTGGGCTTTTAGTAAAGGGTAAAAGAGTACTGCTGTAAAGGAAAAGGGTGTGCTCCAACACTACGGCAAAAAGAAAAGAAAAAAAAGAGAGCTTTGTAGCTCAAAGGAATGCAAAAAGTTGCACACTGACAACTCACTGCTTGATTTCTGATTAAACTATTTATTTATAACTATTCATTATATTAAAATATACTACAGTAGAATACAAACTATTGCAGATCAGGAACATTTAAAACAAATCCTGAGTTGAGGCGATGAACAAGACGTTTATAGTAACTAGTAATTATGGGCATTACCAAAGGGG